CAAATATTTATGGACCTATTAAGAGGTGTTCACTATTTTCTTAGAAACAATTCAAGAGCTCATTACATATTTTTTTTTTAATTAATGAAACTGAGGTGCAACCAAATAAAACATCAATACTAATACATTGTAACAGTTTTTTTATTTCACTGAAAAAATAAATTGCAATTATTTGTCATGATACACTGCAAATTGATTTTTGAAAAAACATTATAGAGAATCAAATTAATCTATATAAATTTATATCAAATTCATTTTAAAAATAATAAAGTGCAGTCAGCCTCAGCATGATACTCCCATCAAATATTGTTCATTCAATTATTATAAACAGTTTAGAGTGCAAGAAAATTATGTCAACCTTTAAAGGGAATTTGCGTAATTTTTCCATTCCTTATAACAATTGTTTAAACATCTCCTGTGGTGCAAGCTTTAATTATAACAAATAATCATCAACTGGTTGCATTATAGCTTGACAAATGCCCCTACTCCACAAAAATACACATATGCACATGTCTTTCATGTGGGACATGATGATCTGAAATTGGTCACTTGATATTTTCAAATAAAAAAAAAGAATATCAATTTAACTAATATGTCTTAAAAACTTGATCTATACCAAATTGATTTTAGAAATAGGAGACTGGCCATCAAATGACAAATGCTATGTAAAATGACCAGCAGCTCTTCTGTCTAATTCCCAAAGGACACAGATAAAAGCTCCTTGATCAGAGATATGCTCTAACAGAAATGATTAAGACAGCTTAAGCTTCCCTACATAGAACTCATTAATTAATCTTATACTGGATGCATGCCCACTAATTGCTATCAAGGGATGAATGGATCTTAACCTTTTCCTTTGTAGTGCAAACAAAATGCATTATTGCAAAATGCATTACTGCATGTGTTATTCTGAAATTAAATTTGAAAACAAAGATTTTGTATAAATTTGTTACAAAGATTTATACTGAAAAAAAAAATTGTGTAATCTTGATCATCATTTTGAATAAGGTTCTTGCATGATTCTTAAGATTTGTAGGGACTATCTAACAATTTTTTTTTTTTTAAATACTTGATTTATTTGGATTTTATATCATACTAAAAGTTTCAATCTGAAATTAATGTGGAGAATGAGCATGCTGATTCCAATCCCCCCACCCCACCCCCACATACACAAACAATATAATTAGTTTTAATTATATTATACAATATCAATTAAGTTTTTTATACAATTTCAAATTAGTTTATTATACAATATCAAATTAGATTGAAGTTGCCTTTTCTCAAATTCATTAAATAAGTTAGGCTAGTCACTAAAACTATTTAAGGCTGATTCCTTAGCCCAATTCCCAAGAGACAGATAACAAGTTCTTGATCAGAAATGTTCTTCAAGTTAGCTCCTTACACTAAACTAATTAATTTCTCTCTAATTTGACATGCAATTTTATGTTATCAAAATTCTCCTTGACCAGTGCTTCATAATTATACCCTTGGGAGAGGTAGATTTTTCTCTTATAAAATAACATTTGTTATGGATTGCTGTAAAGTATATAATAAATAAAAAAAATTTCTTAATTTAACATGTTTTGAATAGGGATACTGCAACATTCTTACATATTTTGGGATTGTTTAATTCAAAAGTAAAAGACAGTTATTTTTTTAAATTTCACTTTAATTAAAGGTCACAGTGACCTTGAAATAGGTCATGGCACACCTTCTACCCAAGATGCATAAATTGGTCAAGTTTGATGATTGTAAGTCTAATAGTTTTCTAGTTATGAGCCAAACAAAACAACAAAATAAAAACGAAAAAATGCCTGTAAAATGCAGAAAAATCATCCAATCATGATGAAAATACCAGGTGCACACCTTCATATGGTGAATAATAAGTGTACAAATTTTCAGACAAATCCATCCAATAGTTTCTGAGAAACGGTCTGGACAAAATCTTGTCTACAGACAGACAGACAGACGGACAGACGGACAGACGGACATGGTGATTCCAATATACCCCCCTAAACTTCGTTTGCGGGGGTATAATTATCTAGGTCTCAAGTACCATAAAAGCTGCATTTCAAACAACTTTCAATAAATATCAATATATCTAGTTTATCCAAAAATGGTTCCAATTACATGTTCTAAGTGTCTAAAATTATTGAATCTTTCCAATTTCATGATGGAAGTGAAGATTTTGTTTCTTACCATGACGACGACCTCTATTTCGGTTCCCTCGTCGATTTACGCCATGTGGTACCAGCATGTGTGAACCAAACGGAAAGTCCACCATTGAATTCTGTCAAGGTTCAATTTATCAATATTAGAAACTTAATTGTAAATATCACGCTTAGCATTTGATTTAATCAATTTTCAATTAAAGGTGCTACAGACACAAGATCATTACAGCATTTCAACCCAATGGTCATGATGAACCAGGTAATATTTTGAGCAGTTTATTTTTTTACTTTTAGAGACGTGATGGAAATGACATTTAAATTAACGAATAGAAATTTGACATCTGACACATTAAAAAAATTGTTTTATTTAGAAAATTAACAGAAAAACATAAGTTAAACATTGCATTTTAATAATTAAAATATACAGCTGTATTTCTGATATTTTGACATAATCTGAATAAACATTCTTTCCTGTTGGGAGAGGATTATCCTGTTATCATTACTGTCAAACATTCAACTAACACAGATATAATGTAATCATTACTGCCAAACATTCAACTGACCTCCACAGAACTATCCTCTGACTCGTCATGGAACAAAGACTCTAGAACAATATCCATGTCTGTAAACACAAACAAAAAAATTTCTCATTTCCAAACATAAAAAAAAGAAGACATTTTTATGGAAACATGCCTACAGGGAACCACTTGAGACACTGAAAATTAATGTACATTACACACTTTTTATACCAAAGTGCTCTGATAAGGCTATAATAAAGCAACAGAATAAATCTGCTCCAGCACAATTTTGAAATAACACACTAATTTTTCTGTGCATTCTTCTGCCTCTGAAAAATAAAATGAATCCAAATAATGACAACAAATTTTCTCAATTGAATACTTTTTCCTTTTCAGGATTCAGAGCACCTGTTAAGAATGAGTTACCTGCCTTGTTACTCTGCTACAAACATAATTTAAGAAATGAATTTAAGTTTTGAAGATTCATGGGGTTATGAACTACAATGCTTCATGCTGGCCAATTTCATAAAGCATGATAACCCTTCATGATAAATATGCAGGCGTGAAGTGTTGAAGTTCATGTATCTCATGAATCTTCAAAAAATAAATTCTTTTCTGATATTTACATTATTTTTCTGATATATTCATGCTCATCCATGGTAGGTAGTTCATGAGAAAATGAACAGTGTTCCTTTTTGCAAAGAATCTTAAAGAAAATTATTTGGAAATGTAAAAATATAAGGATGAATTCTGTCATTTAAGTAATTCAGTTCATGGCTCTGTTCTCCAGTTCCCATTTACTGTAGTTACCACCTGTCCACCAAACTCACCCCTCGTGGACTGCCTCATCCCCCGGGTCAGCATCGTTGTGGGGGAGTCACTATCGTGGGTGTGGTACTCCGTCAGCCTGGGACAGGGTGGGGGTGGGGCCTGACTCTCAGCATTGTGTAGGGTCATGGCATACTCAAAATCCATCTCCTCCTTTAAAAAAAAAATGTCAGACATTGCATTATTACCTAAAAATTTTAAAATGTCGCACCTTGCTTTATTCCCCCAAAATTGGTGGTTAAGTGTAACAATACTATTCTTTTATTCATTAGTAATAATAAGAACTACTTGGAGTTACATTTATATAAACAAAATTCTTGCTGAAAGTTTGGTGAAACCACTGTGTTTATTTTAAAGGTTCTCTAACCTGTAGTCGTCTTGCCATTTCTTCGTCCATCTCCATCTCATTGACCGCCTGGAAAACACTCTGAGATCTCGGGGAGGCTAGTATCTCAACGCGCTGACGACAATTCCTGTTGGGCCTCAATGGTCTCCCTTGAAAAAAAATCAACAATTTCTTCACACATGTAGTAATAAAAAATACATTGTAAATACAAAATCAAAGGCCTGAAGGGCCACAATGGCGCCGCGCTTTAGATATGGCAGTGATACTGTGAAATTATTGGATTTCAAAGCATGTTTAAAAGTATGCATATGTCTACAGAATTATATAGCTTAGTTGTATATCTAGATAAAATAACCCGATTTAAGCATTTATGAAATAAACAACAGGTTTTCCTTTTATTTTTTTTTTTAAATATGCTTCATTTTATTGTTTTTAATCGCAAATCTACGAAAACATCAATGTCCGTTTTTGGTTTTAACATTTATAACAGAGTACTAGATTTACCGCTTTTTGGCAGGTGATACTGCTGATTCAGTAATAAAAACGCATGTTTCCTACAGTTTTTATGCATTAATGAATTCAATTAAACATGGAAAATGTTCATGAAAAGTCTGAATAAATTCTGTGCACTGGTAAAAAAGAAATCGCTAAAAATCCAAAAACCGGGACTGTCGGGAGTTGGGAGTCGGGAAGACTAGATTTACCGCTTGCCGGTCCTGATAACAATCTTGATTTATTGGAAGCCATTTTAAATTTTGATTTTCCAAAACAATCCCAGTTAACTGTTTACACCTGCACTGATAATTTACTGGCCTACTGAACATACGTTACATAGTCATCGGCATTGTTGACGTAGATCATGCTTGTGTTATAGTTAGGCCATATAAAATTGAAATCTTGGTTCTCAGGCCCGCGCGCATCCGTTTTGAGGTAGCCGCATTGCCGATTTTATTGTATTTTTAATAAAATGAAAAGTTGGTTTTGCGGAGTCCAATCCGGGAAAAAAATTTCCGACCTCATTTGTTTCGTAGTTTAGTATTCAAATATCACTTCTGGTAGCCATTTACAATGAGATTTTGGCTACTTCGTTTGAAAATACATTTGAGGACATTACCTACGATGTTTACACGCTGTTAAGCAATGGATAAAGCAGAAATTTTGACCAGAAATGGAAAGTATATCTGTGATTAAAAAAATTATCTTTATGTTAAAGAAAATTCGGAAATTAAAATTAAAAAAAATACCTCCCTCGTCTACTTTATTGCCAATAAAATGAAAAATAAATCGCCGCCCTCCCGCATCTGTTTTGGAGAAAATTGGCCTGAGAACCAGGGAATTAAATTTAGATAGCCTTACAAGTACAACCTAATTTACGAACCAAATCCGGAAATCGGAGATTCAAGCGATAAGCATGACCCGCCGTGTCATAAAAAATAATCAGGTTAAGGGTGGAAAAGTTACCCGACGAAAGTAGGTGAGTTGGCAACTATATATAGGACTGTTGAAATTGTATGATTTTCAAGCAATTTATGGAATAAACGCAAAAATTGGCAAGTATATTCCTACGCCAGATACATGAAGGTCTTGGTTCGAGTACTATATTATTTGGCGCATAAAGAAAGCGGTGAACAGTCAGCGATTTCTTCATAGCTAGATGTGCGCCGAGCATAAAAATTCTAAAATATATTTATTTTCTATATATTCAATGTGATTGAATCTTAAGTATAAATCATGGCAAATATGTCCAACAAAACAAACATGTAGGAGAAGTTTTTGAATAATGAAGATTTTGAAAAGATGTTTGCACAGACAACACAGATGAATTACTGACACCTTTATCATCTCAAAAGTAAAGAATTCAAAAATAAAGATAAATGTTAAAATTTATCTACCTTTTACACTACTTCTAGATGGCGTCCGTTGACTCGAACTATCTGCAGCAGTCAAGCGTGCAGACAACCCAGAATTTCTGTAAGGGTGCAGAAAAGTTGGGGAGGGGACGAGCGGATTCTCAGCTTCTCCCCTCTCCGAGCTGGACTGTCGAGTTTTCCTGGCAAATCGTTGACTCCTTCGTGTAGGTAATGTATTCCCCTCCAAAACCTCTACATCGCGCCTGTCTGAAAATGACTCCCCCGATATCGACTCGTCATCTGATATAGATATCACAGTGGAAAAACTCTCCGCAGCTTTATTCTGTGAATTTGATTCATGTTCAGGTTGAAGCATGTGATATTTCTCTGTACAGTGTAAGTCTGCCGGTTGTTTCCTATCCTCAGGGTGAGCGTGCCTGTTTTTACTGATAATTCTCACCGGGCTGGAATGCATAGCGGTGGCTCCTTCGGACAAGTCGGTATTGTTATGCAACCACATCTGCTCGTTGTAAAGATCCCTAACATTCTCCCTGACTCCTTTTGACACACCTGCACTTTGGGCCTGTATATCCAAATTTCTTCTACATTTAGGGGAAGAAACATTTTTGGTCACATTTCTTCTTCTGTTAGAATGCATATCTTTTTCTGATTGACTGTGACTTGGGGAACATCTTGTGGGTATATGGTGGCCTTTGAAAGAACAACTGATACTCAGATCTAAATCGTCATCTTCACTTCCCGACTCTGACGAAGATGGCCATTGCAATTCCTTGGGAATATTTGAGTACAAATTTTGTCTACACCTCCGCTGGGGTTTTTCATGTCTTTGTGCCAGACCATCCATGGACAGCATTTCTCTGAGAATTTTATCCCCATCCAAGATCTCTCTTCCAGCACCCCTGCTGTTATCAGCTAGCATATCAGAACTTTTAGTCACACTGCTTACTGTGCTTGACTGGTCTTTCTTTCGTCCTTGTTCTTTCTTCAAGGCCTCTTCCCCATCCAAGAAAGACTTTTGAGCCACCTTTGACCTCTTCTTGTGTCGTTTCTCTGCCTGGCTGAGATATTCTTGTTCCTCCTGTTTACTAGATGAAATGTCTCCTACCACTTCTGCTTTCCTCTTTTTCTTCTTTCTGTGAACTTTCCCTTGGGCTGAGTCCTTAAACTCCTCTTCTTCTTCCATTTCCCCATCACAAGAATGTAACAATTCATGAAAATACTGTTTTGCAATGGCCTTCTTTTCGGCCCTCATTTGGCTTCCAATTTTCTGAGAGTATTTTCTAGCTTTCTCCATGATATTAGAATTAGGTTGGCTATCACTGCTGCTTAAACTTTCTGGAGATTGGATTACGCCCTTCTTTTTACTAACTTTAGTTGCACCTAATTCGCAATTCTGATTGGTTTTTGGCAGTGCATATGAATTGAATTCTTCAGGAAAAGACTCATCAATGATGGACCTGGATTTAAATATTGGGGAGAATTTGACCTCCTCTGGGAATGATTCATCCATGAATGAGGAGAATTTGAGGACATTTTTCACTCGACTGGATTGAGAAGCCTGTTTAGAGGAAGCCTCATGGGTAGGGTTGTTTTTGTACTTAGCATTTGTGTTGCTTTCACTCCCCTGAGAATAAAGAGGTTTCTTTCTAGGTCTTGAGAACTTCACAAACACTGGGCTAGAAAGTAAAAAAAATTAACCTCAACTGATCAAATATTATCAAATACATGTAGTCGGGAAAGTCTCATATAAAATATCATGCATCCTTACATATATAATTCATGTCTGGACTTAAAGTTACTTGAAAATGAACTTGTTTCGAAAACTTTTATTGTTCAATTACCTTAAATCACTTTTTACATGTTTTATTTGTTTCATGTGCGGTCTTGATCAGCCCGATTCAAATTAAAACTATACAAGTTACTTAGTATCTGCGACCACCTTAACCGTCGCATATATGTTGGTTTATAGTATGTCAGATATGCAAACATTCAGTAGCTTGATCATATTGATTACTTAAGCATCTTAGATGACCACAAAATTAGTCAACGAATAACTATCTTCTATTTACCTGGGGGCAATGAAATTGTCTTCATCACCTTCATCATCAGAGGAAAAGTTTGGAGTGGTTTTTGAAAATGTGAATAATCTTGCACTTTCGTCTTTCATATTAGAGTTGGCCTGTTCTTTGTCCGATTCTCTTTGTGATGCCATTATATAATTTTCTTTTTGAGCCTTTCAGACCTAAAATTATTCATTAAGTTTGACATAAATTCCAGCTAGAGTTCAGTTTAGTAAAACAAAATTGAAAAAAAGTTCAATTCTTCCATTATAGCTAGCGCAGCGAGCATGGCAAAACGACGCTCGTAACTGCGTGCTCTAACGACAATGCCTGGGCGAAGAGAAAATTCGGGCTACTGCAATGCATCACTTGTTAAAGCTACGTTCTCGCGAGAATATCAGCAAAAGTTAAACTAAAAGTAAGCATACCCTGATTTAATGGATAAATATTGAAGATAAATAGTAAACGAAACGTTCTTCATTTAATTTCAGCACTCTTCAGGCTTCTTTTTGGAAATGTAACTTACATACGTCATGTGACGTCAGAGTCTAGACGCACCAAATGTCACTTGCAGTTTGACGAGCCCGATCTAAATTATAACAAAATAAATATCTGCGCTCGCCATAACGGTCGCACCGTCAACATATTATGGGTTGAAATTCTAGATTAAAGGTATCCAGGATCCCCAAAAAGGTTTTTTTTATTACTTAAATGCAACTTTATTTCTTTTCTCAAAAATCGTTTCAGAGCAATTAAGCATTATAAGTTTAGTAACCACAACTTTCAGGGACAAAACAATGTATTTCGGTGAAAAAAAGACGTAAAGAACAATTGTTCGTTTTATTATCTGTCAACAAAAACATCACTAAGTATTATTGCTTTGCACTGCAAAAGAGTAGTACTGCAGTTATCATGAACAGAGCTAATTTTATCTACATTGCTAGGATATGGTTCATTCTTTATAATGGACATGGTGGAAAGGGCCTGTCCAGAGACAATGATAGACAATTCTAAAGAATGATAAATGAGCATGAAATATTGCTTGTAAAATCAATCTGTTCATACAATTTAGTTAATACATCTAAAGATACAACTTCCTGTTGTACGTGAATACCAAGTTATCTCAGACACGCATTATTATGTCCCATCGACCGACTTTTGTCTACTGTTCTCAGGCAAAAAGCATCGCGTTTCAACTCCATCTGTATAAAAACACGCTAAAATAAGAAAGATATATATTGTTCAAATATGCTTTGATATTTATAAACTTCCCCAACTTACTAATTCTTTGATTTTATACCTGAAATAGACGAGAACACTTGATATCCTATCTTGTTCTTCAGGTCAGTTTTTTTTTCTTCGTCCGACCTTTGAACTATTCAACAACCAATTATATGTCTCGATTTCATCAAAGGTGTGCAAACGTTTGTGGATACGAAGAGGGAGGCAATCAAAATTGAAACATGTTCTCTACCCAGATTTTTAATTTTTGCTGCTTCCGGTTGTCATTGTGTGCATGTATCGCCTGTCGGAGACAGGCCATTGGGTAAAATACACGCGGATTAAATTCACCGAGATAAACTATTTCTCCAGTTTGATGACTGGAAAATAACTTTGCATCTTTTTAATTCATAAACACGTATTTTTATCAAAAAGCAATGAATTAAGGAAAAATGTTTACTGTGATAATGGTCTTTTTGACATTTCATTTTGTTTTAGTCCGATTTAATTGAACCTTGCTCTTGTAATAAAAGAAAAAATGAAAAGAATGCTAAAATTTTCAGTGAAATATAGTAGTTCATGATTAATCTCAGAAGGAAATCTTGGTACTCTGTGTTAATATTGTTTTCAGACTTCCCGCGCAGAATTTCGAGAAGGCCACGCCCCCAACTCTCCTTAGTTACATGTCAACAGGTTCAATGGTTGTACAGACTGATGATATGGTACTAGTTCTATTGTGTCGGGATGGTATTTACTGACAGGGCTTAGCAACTTAAGAAGAGGTCCTGGCTTTTTAATCTGGATCTTGTCTTTTTATTCAGTAAGTCTGTGATAATATGATACCATTGTTTTTAGCAACTCAAGTACAACAAATGTTAATATTGTCATGGATGATTATCTGATAGTATCGTTTTGATAATCAAGAGATAAAGAAATTGTTAATGCTAGAATTTCAAAGGAACTCGTGTTGAAATTTGTGAAGTTTTACAGAGAAACTTGTGTTGGATTGTATTTAGTTTTGAGATACTATGATTATTAAATAAGATACTTTAAGAAGTGATTCCAGCATGTGTCAGAAAATTAAAAGTATCATGCTGTGACACATAATACTATTGATTTACATTGCTTAATGTACCATATAGGAATAGAATGTATGTTTAAGTTTATATATATCTGTGAGGATTTATCTTAAAATGACAACATATCTTATGGAAGGTGGAATAATCAAGAACTTTTACAATTTGGAACAAATTAGCAGAGGGGCTACATTTTTTTCTTTCAGAAAAGTATGTTTTGGTTAATTTAATCCAAAAGAAGTGTTACAGAACATGTATAATGTGTACTTTATTTCTACTAATGATTAATTTGTTTGTTTGCTTCAATATATTTATTTGTTTGGTGATTAGACATATTAGCGGCCATTTTGTCTGTTTAGTCACATGACTTCCAAGACAAAATTGAACAGCTGATAATGAGTAATTCGATAATTGCGGGTGTAATTTGAATTCATTCAAGATTTAATGATTTAATTAATATGATTAAATAATTTACTTTTTAAATTCTTTATGTACGAAAGTAAGTTGTTACACAGCTGTTGAATACGTTTATCAATACGTTAAAATATACAGTATAATTTGACCAAACCGGCTACCACTGGTTCCATAAAATTTGGCCGGTTTAGACAGAATCCGGAGTGCTGGGAAAATGCAGGAAAATATTAGTTTTGAAATTTCATTGTTTATTAACAAGTACATCATATACATAATATAAAATATAATTAAATGATTAAATCAATCAATAATTTGGAGTCTAGAAATTATAAAATAGTCTCGCATGACTTCTGTATTTTCTTGTTTGAAAGTCGGAGTGAAATGTTACCTAAATCAAAATCTACAGGCACGCGTATTATAGGCCTACTATATGTAAGCAGACAGGGTTTTGTTTGTCAAAGTGCTCATTCAATGTATAACCAGTAATGCACAATTATTTACGATGTGATATTATTGAATTTAACTTTTATTTTTTATGTAAAAAATTACGTCTTCCCACACTGTTATGGCGCCATTTTGAAACCGATATATATTTTGATTTGTAAATCGCGTACATAAAATATTTTTGTATTTATGTTAGAATGTGGTAAAATGAGTTAAAACAGGGTTAATTTTTTTTTATTGTAATGAAATAATATATTTTTTTCAAAATTTCAATTTTTTTTGTCACACAAAATCCACCACGAAAGGTGTTAATTGCTTTGAAGCAGGTGTCATTGATCATGTTGAAGGCCTCGGAATACAGAATAAAGTATCCGGACTACACAGAATTTTTTCTAATGAATTTGTTAAAGAAATGCATGGGACTTAAATTTAGAAAATTTTGACAAATTTTACTGTACTACAATTTGTTATCAAGCCAAGTTTTTGTTATAACATGCTATATAATATATATTTAAAAAGCTTTACACAGTGAAATTTTGTCATTTCATGATTTCGTGTGATGTAAATTCTATGTGAAACTTTTAAAATTACCATCACAAAACAACAATAAAAAACAATTTTAATAGATTTCTTTCCTAAATTCATGTAAAATGAACTGTAACAAAAGGGATCTCTTGTGACTTTTTTCCTAATTTTTTATGTGTTGAAATTGTGGATTTGGATACGTTTGAAAGTAAATATACAATTGTGATCGCAATTTTTTATTCCTTGGTTTGAAACCTGGAATAAGTGGCCACCTGTCTTATGTGGCCAATTTGTCATTCTCCCACAAGTGGCCTCTTAAAACAGGTTTGACTGTAGTTCACGTTCAAGACAAAATTTCTGTTATTCTTACTTTAAAAATTCATCAACCATTCCACAAATAAAAAGGTCATACTTACTTGATAAAAAGATACAAATTAAATAAGCAATGGTATTAAAATACTGTATATAATCGTCATTGAACCGTGATGATTTTAATTAATCCAATTAATTCTAGGTGAATTTTTAAATAGGGTTTACCAAGTTTGTAAATCAATGGAGTTTTCTGCAGTCTTTTAAATCAAAATTTCAAATTTTTTTGACACAGAAACTCCAAGTCTAGCTCATTGATGGCCTGAGAAATTTACAGTGTAGAAAATTTTGAATTTTGTTCTTGTTTTAAACATGATTTTTTTTTAAATGTGTCCCTTAGGTGGTATTAGTAGCATTATTCATTTGGATAACTGAAAGATGATCTGTTTTAGTTAATATAAACAGAACTACTGAACCAATTTCAACCAAACTTGGCACAGAGTATCCTTGGAAAAATGGTGATTCAAGTTTGTTGAAACGAAGGGCCACACCTTCTTCTGGGAGATAATGAAGAAAAAAAATGGGAGAGGTCATCTAAAAATCTTCTTCTATAGAAACACTGGGCCAGAAATGATGTGTAAATTCAAATCATGAATCCTTGGGCTAGGGTTGGGCCACTGTGGGTGATGAGTTTTACATGGATATATATAAAAACAATCTTTAGAATTCTTCTTCTCAAGAACAACAAAGCCATGATCAGTCATATTTATATGAAAACATACATAATTAAAAAAGACAGATTCAACTTTGTTGAATTCACAACCTCCAGGGCTTGGATGGTGCCACTATGGACAATTAGAGTTTTTAGATGGGTATAATAGGAAAAATCTTCTTTTTAGAAAGGAAAATTATGATCAGAATCGAAGACTAGTATCCATAGATGTTATAGATTCAAATTTGTTTAACTATGGGTGATAAAATTTTACTTGGATATAAACATGATAAATCTGTATGAAAAATATTCATCCCAAGAGCAGAAAAGCCATGATTGTTCATATACAGTGTATTATTATTATGGAAGTATCCAAGATATTTTCAATGAATTTTATTTGATTATTTGATTACTCTTTTCAGGGGGTGGGGGGGGGTAAGGATAACGGAAAATTAGGGTTGGAGGTGTAAATACACTATGGGAGTCTCAGGCATGCCCCCTCCCCTCCCCCCTCTCTCCCTCAGTTAAATGTTGCCAAAATATACATTCTGAAATCTTGGGGGATGCATATGAAAATATCACAAACTTTATATGAATTTAATTATGAAATTTTGAATTAATTTTTGACATTTTTTCCAAAGAGCAAAGGAACTTTTTACAAGTAGTTAAAACAACATTGATAAATCCCTGATTCCTCAGATAGTTTAGATTCAAATTTGTTCAAGGTATGACCCTCTAAGGTACCCCGGGCTACAATAAGGTCAAAGTTATCTGTAAGAATTTTTAAAATAAATCTTAAATAAATCATCTGATGAAAAACAGCAAAACCAAAATCCTTCATAATTTTTGTTGGAGCATCCAAGTATGTAGAGAAGACTGAAGTGTACATAGAAATAAATAGGAAAAATTTTATTTAGGACAGAAAAGTCATGGTCAGTCAGTACTCATATTTATACAGAAGCATCCACAAGTAGTGTATTCAAGTTTGTTCAAATCTTGACCTTAGTGGCGGAGATCAAAGTGATGATTTAATCTTGTAATATTTCTTCATTAGAGATTCATAGAATTTTTATGGTACATATTTTGAGCCTTGTCACTGTGGCCTAGCCTAAATAACTCAGAGCAGAATCCTGACACATCCTGACCTGATTAATAATGTTGCATGCCAAGGTCTTTAAACCTTTCCCTTGTCCAAGTGACCTAGTGCCCTGGTCCCCCCCCCCCCACCACTACCACAACCGACCAGCAAGCTTCAAATCTGCAACCTTGAATAAGGATTCCAACCCCAACCCCCTTCTTTTACACCTATTTCATGCTGTTTGCTTCAGAAGTTAAGAGCAAAGTCAAAGTTGCAGAGAGGTAAATGGTGGTGGTGTTATCATCTTATCATGGTGGCCATGTAGATTTATTCCAGACTTGATACAAACAGTTGAAGTTTGTGTCAAACCAGAATTATGGTACCATACTATACTTACTTTTTAGTTTGTGTTTGCCTGTTCTATATAACCACACTAACTAAGAAGGAGAACCTTTTATTCATAATCTTTTTTGTACATCTGGGCAGGGGTAAAGTACATGTACTGACAAAAATTGATTGAATTTTATGCTAACATTTGACTTTATTTTACAATACAATGATTAAATGAGACAATGATTAGTTGATAAACTTATATCATCATCATCAGAAGTTACTTTTTGTTCACTGAGCAAAGTCAAAGTTGATCAAAATTTGTCCGTCGTCTGTCGTTGTCGTCGTTGTTCTTCTCAAGAGAGGTAAATGGGTGGTGGTGCCACGCCCTTTTATAATCATGAATTTGTTAAAAATTCATGGTGGCCAGGAAAGATGAAACTCATGTGGAAGCAACCTCAGGTAGTGTAGATTTAAATTTTTATTCCAGACATAGGAATATATTCATAACAAAATGTACAAACAGTTGAAGTTAGTTTGTCAAACCAGAATAGGAATATATGGAAAAATCTTTAAAAACCATAACCACTATACTTACTTTTTAGTTTGCGTTTGACCCCCGGGGCAAGGGTGGGGCCAAAATGGTTGCCCCTAGTTTTACTATATAACCACACTAACTAAGAAGGAGAACGTTTCATTCATAATCTTTTTAGGAATAGGAAAAATCTTTACATCAGGAAAGATGCATGTGGTGTAAAGTTTGTACATGACCCCCGGGGCAAAGGTGGGGCCAAAATAGCCAACCCAAGTTTTACAAAAATATGAAAAATCTTTAAAAATTTTATGCTGGACATTTGACTTTATTTTACAATATAATGATTAAATGATACAATGATTACCTGGATATATAGTTAAAAGATAAACTATGATTAGTGATATTTTATATCATCATCATCATGAACGCCTGGGGGGGGGGGGTGAGAGTTTGCAATATGTTTTTGTTCACTGCTTTTTTATAGATATGGATATTGGGGGAAGGGGGGTGTTTGCAGTCTGTCAGTAGCTATATTAATATTAGATTACTATTAGAGATGAATACTTGTAAGATATCAGTGGTTGATGAAGATTTCTAGACTGTAACATGAAATTTGCGTTAAGGATCTAGAGACCAAAAGCAAGGCAGTAGATTGATTTTTTTTTTACGCCTATACCTGTCGTACAGGGAGTACATTGTTGAAACATTTGATACTAAGTGTTAAACTCCCATTACCAAAAAAACAAAAGGCAGGGGTGGAATTCCATTACCGTTCTCAGGAACGTTGTTTTAGACATGAATCTCAAGATGATCGTTTATCAAGGCCCTTTAACTAAACACCCATTGACTTTTTGACAAAAGACCTTGTCAGACCCAAAACTACCCCGCAGTCCGCTGGTAACAGTGTTTACTCATGGACGTCCCTCGTTGCCAGCCAAAAAAAATCTTTGACAAGCATGAGGTGAAGTTATGTAGGCAGGGATATTCATTGAAAGTGGATTTTCTTTTTAAATGCAGTTGTTCCACTTGAATTGTGTATTAAATGGCCCAGGTGCTAAGGTGAGAGATGGATTTTTTTTCAGTCTTTGCGTAGAGAGGATGGTATTCAAACTGTTTAAAAATCTTTCCATGTTGGTATTCATAGCATGCCAGTGTATTCTCAAGGCCAATGATAAACTTTGAATTAAGGTGATTTATTCAACTGGTGCATAGTTAGTGGGTTTTACATTTGATGTAGTAATCTATGCAGGATGTCAATTTCTTTAATAGAATTGATCACTTCACATGCCCCTAACTATTATTTTTTATAATACCCCAACCCCCACCCCCTAGCTGCCTTTAAAGCATAATTTACAGTGTATATTTGAAAAAGAAAAATTAAGACAAATAGCTGTAATATAATACTACCCGGATAATTTTTCCCATACCTGTATCTTTATTTCTCTGGCCTTTGGTAAAGGATGGGGTTGTATTATTCTGGAAAACTCTATGTTTCTCTGTTTGTCCTTTTAGAATGCTATGCTTTTGATTCAGTTATGATGTTTAACCCTGGTCAGATTAGTGTTGAACTCAGGTGATATTATAGAAATACCATTTAAGTCAATTCAGAGAGAAAGATCTGAGGTCATATAGGTCATGACATCATCACATGTCAAGGTCATTCAGTACTTCTTGTCTAGATCATTCAGTACTTCTTGCATTAAAACAGTCTTATAGCGAACAATAAATGGAGGCTTACTGGTACATAATTGAAGTGATTTTCATTTCCTGCAAGTGATTTAAAAATATATAAAATATATAGTAAAAAACTTAATGGATTAAACAAATTACACTTATGAGGAAGCAAAATCTTTCCTTCCTGGCCCTTATATTAATTGTAAGCATGTTTTTCATGTACTGTACCTTGTTGTGGATGGAGACAGTTTTTTCTGTTTTGTGTTTTTATTGCTATGTATTAGTCATAAAAAACATAACAAATATGTAACTTTAAACAGATTAAGATTCATCTGATTGTATCTTAATTTCAAATTTGTGAGTTTTTTTTCCAACACAAAATGGAATGTTTCATTTGAGAAACACAAGGTTGCTCAAGTCAGTATTCCAACAATTTCAAAATTTCAAAATAGTTGTCTCTCGCCTGTAAGTGTTAAGCTTTGAAATATCTTACATTTGTTCAATTTGAAAAAAAATTTAAAGGTAGACACCCAGCAAGTTACTGTTTTTGTTAGAGTTTGTATTAAAGTCAGGGGATTATCTTCATTTGATAAATAGAAGGATTTATCTAAAACTAGTCAGATATGATTATGGAAATGGGTTTATGTTTAAAATACTACAAATGGACTGGCAACACTGACAAGAACTTGTTGAGAACTGAAGCGTGTCTAACAGAAACAAGGCTATTACATTAGATCCATAGACTCGTATGGATTTATTAGCTATACATAGATACATTGTTTTTACTATTAGAGACATGGGAATCGGCATTGATTGATGATCTGTGTATTTTTAAGTTCTTAACTCTTTTGCCTAGTGGATGAGATTGCAATAATTTTTGAGAAAATCTTTTGAGTTAGAATGCCTCCAAAACACAAGAAGAAAAAGGATTCTTTTAAACAGTTGTCAAAGTAAGTGGGGGGAAATTTTGTGTTGATTTTCCTGTTAACCATTGAATGATATTGACTCATAACTAGAGACTTGAGCTTTTTATTCTGCTATTTAAGCAAAATCAAATTCTTTCAAGTTTTCACAGTCATAAATTTTTCATTATTTGACCACTCCATTGCATGTGATGTTTGAAGTTTGACAAATAAAGTTGATTGTTTGAATATCTATTGTATTTCATTCAGACATTTTACAAATATCCTTCCAAGCAAACCGTTTAGACATGAAAGAATTAACCTTCAAATAATAACCATGAATTGAGATGAGAGTCTACTTTTATATATGCAACATAATGAGGAGTTGTCCTTTATTTTATATTATTTTATTCTCATCATAGAATCAATATTTTCTCAGACTGGGTACTACAAAGGAAAAAAAGAAGCTGCTTTGTCGTTTGATGAATAATTCATGTAGACTTAGGACTAGCTGACAGATAATGCCATTATGGTGTTTGGATATGGTTGGCACATCTGATTTTGCAGATCCATATTTTTCCATTATTCTGTTGTTCTCTTGATATTGAAGTGCCGATTTCAAAGAGAACAGTCAAACTGAAAAAAGAATTGTTTAAAAAATTATCTTTAAGTACACGTATACAACCTGCATATGAATTAAAAAAGAAAAAAAATAATTATGTGAATTTAAAATGTATAAAATTCAAACCAAGTTAATGCTGAGTTTTTTCCGCAAGTCAGAGTTAATCAAAAGCTAGTCTCATATAGTGATAAGAGTAAGACTTGATGAAAAATCAATTTTTGTTGAGATGATATATCTACCTTTTCCAACAAATAAAATATTTGCTTGAGGTACTTCAAATAGGGTCCATCAATGATTGAAGATTTTATTTGTGACATTTTTGTTTGACATTGTTATCGTAACTCGGAATCAAAGTTTTGGTAAGGAAGTGTTCATCGCTGATATGGGGAATGCGAGGTGCATTTAAATGTCCCATGTTTGGATAAAACGGAACATTAAAATAAACAACAGCCATTACTCTATATTACATGGGGTGCTCCAGTCGTGAAGTGCTTATATGTATAGTTACCAAATATTTATCGTCCCTTTTACCCAGTCTAAGGTCACTAACTGTCTAGCCGACTCAATTAGTCTGTGAAAATAAAATAAGAGCATTCTTCCTTAAATACAGTGATTGTAGTGTATATGTTACATTCATTGGGGGTGTGGCCGTGAAGAGTTTTGTTCTTAAAAGTAATGTCAATGGCTTTAATGTTGAAGTGGATCTTCTTGTATTGTGTCAAACACTCTATACCACTTATTAAAAGGTTTAAGTGCAGTGCAAGGGATTCTAAGGATATTTTAATTGTCACTGCATATTTTAATGACATTAAAATGAAGTAGAGAATGGTTTGAATTTCATTTATTATGAATATAATTACAATATTTGATCTAGGGACATGTTGATCAGAAGAATTCAACTTCAGATTCACTTTCAGTAAATAAGCTACTTTCTATCTTAGAACCATGCAAGACACATGAAAAGCTGACGTTTAGCAAAGTTAGGTCTTATCATGAACTTGTAATGAGAAAACATCAATCAGTCTACCAGGCCTCCTGATACAATTGATTTTCTTTTTGCAATCAATTGCCCCATGACAAAAAAGAACAGAAATCATCTGATAAATTTACAGCTGTGTGGTATGTGTTTTATAGGTTGAGTGGGGGTCCATCACAGGATAATCCCTTTATCACACACCTAGGGGACGGTGACCCTAATCTACAGCCCCACCCCCAGCACCTTCTTAGATCCTCCACCCCCGACGAGAAGCAGACCCTCCAGCTGGTAATCCCGGAACTTGACTATTCAGGGACAGCGGAGCATTCACTCAACAACTCAGGCAGCAACAAGGAATATAACCACTCAGGTCAGTTTGTGGAAGGTGTACAGTAAAACTCAGTTATAACGAAGTCACTGGGACCTGTGAGATTACTTTGCTACATCCGTAATTTGTTATATCTGTATAAGGAATTCGTTAAATTTATATAGCTGGGGATCCAAGATAACTTCGTTATATCCATAAATTCACAATATCCATGTTTGTACTAAACGAGTTTTACTGTATTTATAGGTTAGCAATTCCTCCATGGCCATAATGGAGCAAAATTTTTTTTGTTTACTCAATGTTCACAAAAAAAAATCACATTTTGTTCAACAGATACATTTATTATAAATTTTACTTCATTTACTGTATACATAAATTTGACTAAAAGAAAAATAGTATATTAGTAAACAAACAGTAAAACTTGTGTGTATTGAATTTTGTATTTGTTTATAATTTTGATCATTTATTTGAGATTTATTCTGATCAAGTTGTACTAAGACATCTTTCAAAGAAACATTTTTGATGAAAATAACATTTTCTTCCTTTCAGAAACCAAGGAAGTTGATACAAAAGAACCAGTTCCTGAGCCCGAACCCCCCGCCACTGTAGAAGAACCACTTAGACCTCAATCCAGGCATTCATTTGTTACCTCAAGGAGTTTCCTCAAGGAAAAGACTTCACCCTCCACAAAACCATTTAACAAACAAGTGTATTTTGTGTCTTCAAGTTCTGAACCTCATTTGCGACCAGAGAGTCGCTGCACAAACGTGACAGACAAACCGATCGTAACTCCCATAGTGGAGAATCCATATGCTCGAGTGGACTCGGGCTACTCGAGTCGTTACAGCCACAGGAGCTATAGTGCAGGTTCTGTACGCAAGGTTACTCCCAGCCCCAACAAAATGAGCTACGGAATGACCGAGCATTACTCAAATACTCACGTCCAGCAACCGTGCAATCGCACACAGGAACGCGAGGAGTTACAGCGGATTAACGACCGCTTCACGGCGTACATCTCAAAGGTCCGTCATCTCCGAGAACAGAGTGGACACCAAGTGGACGCCACATCTTTCATTAAGTCTACGAAGGTCTTAGAGGATGAGCTGGCCACCCTGAAGGATCTATATGAACGAGAACTGGACAATGTTAGGTAGTGCAAAATTTTAGGTCTGGAGAATTAGAAATAATATATACATGTACATGTAACAGAAGGAACCTACACCATTCAGTCAACTGAAGTGTCAATGAAATATCACTGAATGGTAGAGCTCTGCTTCTCAGTAAACATTCAGTCACCTTTCAGTAGATATTTAGTCGCCTTTCAGTTAACTTAGTATCAATGTTCCATCCTCTGAATGTATACTGTTTGTGATGTGCTATAAATGCCATATTTAGAACTTACACATTTACAATGGAATAATTGTAAAAAAAAATTTCCATATGAAATCTGAAAAAAAAACTTTGCAGAAAATAATTAATTTAAACATAAATATGGATCAATAATTCAGTAAAATGTTAAAATTTTACACTCATCTTTCCTTTTAATCTTGTTTCATATAAAAGTATTCATTCTCTGTAGGAAACAATTGGAAGATGTCACAAAAGAAAGGAACTCGTATCAAATGCAGTATAACAAGAGTAAACAGTTTGCCTTAGATCTAGAGAGCAGGTAATTCTATTTTGGCACCTAACAGGCCTTTTACCTTCTTACTACAGAGTAAATTTAAAACCAGGGAGATTAAAAAAAAAAAGACAGCATTAATGTAAACACGTAACACATTTTTGTCTTGGCAAATTTAAAATGGGTTTAATTGTTCTTAAATATTTATCTATGTCTAACTGTCTTTAATGAATGAACCTATATCTTTAAATAATTTTTAAGATACATATAAATGAAATAAACATATAGATGTAGATTAAAATAATTTATCTATATCAATATATATACAGGTACACTGTACATAGGTTATTACATATATACATGTACTGTGTCCTCAAAGTATGATAAAGAAGATGGCAATTAATTATTTATTGCTTTAATTAAAAAAAAGTCTGTGCATGCAGATTTCCCCATAAACTACAATGCACTATTCACTATTGAGTAATTGTATCTCTCCAGCAATGAAATTTGAATTTACAGCATCTAGGAACATTACTGTAGATTTTAACACTTGCCCACCCAACCACCCCCATGATTTTTTTAATGTTATTAGACAAGTCGAGCTTAAAAAAAGAATTTAGAGGAAAAAGACAACAACAAAAAAGCAGAATGAAAATAAGGAATATGTTTTATAGAGTAACAACAGCTATGCTGCAGTTAGCTGGTGAAGTTTCAAAAAGTAGGGCTGTCAGAGAAATCTTAAAAGGTTTCTTATTTTATTTTTAAAATTAATGTAATATATGTCTCAACAGTTACTTCCAACAAGACCCAGATGTAAGGTAGGAATCCAGAGAAATCCTCCCCCCTTACTTTATTGTGTGACATAATTAATGATGTTTCAGGCCTTGTGTTGTAAACCCCATACCTACCTACTTAATACCTTGTTTAATGTTTCAACCATTGTCATTCATGACCTAATTTTTTGTCATTTAACTATCAGGTGTAATAAATGTATATTGTACCCTATGAATTGTTTTATTGATCTTGTTTGTGCTATAAATGTCTAAATTCAGTTGTACACATAATTCAGATATTTTTACTTTAAATTTTAAGAAATTATGTTACTGAATTTCATATCATACATGTACAGTGTACATGTATATGACTTTTAAAATGATGTGAGAATTTGAAAAATATGTGTGTTTAAAATTTCGTTTTCTTTTTGACAGATTAATGGTGGAAACAGAGAAAAATAGGAAACTAATGGAGGAAGTTAACATCAGTCATAAACGAATCCAGTCGTTAGAAAACGAAGTTTCAGAAACCAGGAGGAGTTCAGGGCGACCGTTCGATGACATCAACACTTTGACCAGAGACACTGAAAAAATGGCAAGGGAGATTGAGACCCTGAAGCGCAGGTTTGTTGAAGTAGGAATATTAAAAAAATTGTTTCTCCACTGGCGTGGATTTACTTCTAATACTAAGATTGGTGCTGATCGACTGTGACCTAGTTACCGTTAATAGCCTCATTTTCAAAGAGCTTGACCACGGGTCCATTTTTGAGAATTTACAGGTGTTTGGGGTTACATTTTGTCCTGTGTAATATAAGAGAAAAAAATTCCCTGGGTTATTTTCATTCTAGTGCAGTAAAGATAACTTTATCCCATTTTTAAAAAATTCAAAAAGATCTTATTATTTTGGTAACAGATCATTTCTTTTTTTTTTAAACCAAATTTGTTTGCTGGCTTCCTTAGATACGAGAAGGAGCAGCTGATGAGACAGGAAGCGGAAGAGAAGGCGCACCTAATGTCCCAAAAGATGGAGTTTGATAATCAAGTTCAGGGCCAGCAGATCAGAGAAATGAGAGAACGACTGGAGAACGCCAACGCTACCATACTCAGTCTGGAGACCCGCATCCGACAGTACGGGAAATCCGACACATCCATGTCGGCCCTGCTCCAGCAGGTCAGGGAATCTGCAGAGGAGGAAATGGCCCGATTCAAGGCCGAGCTGGAGGAAAACTACAACAGAAATGTATGTCGGTCTCTTAGTAAATTTCTAAAAACAAATGTTGTTAAATGCTGCTGAATTTTGAAAGGAATTAATGCTAACTTTGTAACATTGAGATATATTTCATTGGTAGACTTCGAAAATTTACACTGGCAACCATAATCATTGAATACAATGTATATTCTTTCAAAGTTTCTTTTATGATTTAATTCCTTTTCTATGATATATGTGATAACACATTAATTTTGTGTTAATTTTAGATAACTGCATTGAAAACTCAAATGGAAAATGATGCCAAAACATTTGATAGACTAAATACAGAGAAATCTCAGATCTTAGGGCAAATTGTGGAACTTAAAGCTAAGATTACTTCCCTAGAAGGACAGGTAACTTTTAGATTTCATCAAGCAATAAGATAATGTGTTATGTATAAATCATTGATATGCCGGTAGTCCTTGAGATATACACTGTAAACCAACTATTATTTGCATCATCTTTTATTCGCCATTCATCAGTTTAAAATCTATCCACAACAATCAATTTTCGCGACTGAGGAAACATATTCTATAAACACTAAGCAGAATGACTGGTTCATGGCGATTAATTTTTGCGATATAAAGTAGATCGTGAAACTCGCGAATATTACTCGCACGTGAATGAAAGTTGGTTTACAGTAGCTGCTGATCTGCAGCTCAAGGACAAAATCAAGAAAAGTTAATGGTTCATTTTTTTGTGTGCAATAAATGTACTTTTTTTTCAATGGGTGGCACTGTAGCTCTCTGGTTGTCCATTCTAATTTTTTTTAGACCAGAGAGCTACAGATCTGCAGCCATTTTAAATTATAAAAGCAGAGAGTATTTTCAATACCATGGTAACTCACCCTGAGTAGTATTTTAGGGAAAAAATAATTTTTATCTTGCACAGATTCAGAACCTGAACCACCAGAAGCAGTCCCTAGAGGAGATGGTGGCCCAGGAGAGAGGGCGGGCCACAGAACAGGTGGCAGCCATGTCACAGAAACTTAAGGACGTACAGGACATGCTGTTTGTAAAGCTAAGGGAGGCAAGCCAGACACACGACTGTCACATGCCACTCAAGGCAGAGATCAGTGCCTTGAAAGCTCTTCTGGAGGAGGAGGAAAAAAGGTCAGTAAAATAATCTGCCTTAGAATTATTTATTTGGATCATATGGTATAAAAAGGGGGGGATCTTACTAATTCCAATGCTTAGTATGGATTTTTCAAAAATGGTAAAAGTTGTTAATTTGTTCAAAGCAAAAATGATGAAATTAAGTATCTGGTTATAAAAAAATTTATCATTAGGTTTTAGCAAATAAATAAAATTTAGTGTGAGTCTAGTAAATTATGTAATATTTAATATAAAAATTTGAATTTATTTTTAGAATTGATAATTATATCTTTTTATTGTTTCATGAGTAAGACAACTAGGTTATTCAGTCATGAACATGAAACCAAGACAGTAATCCGTACTGTAGATAGCAAATAGTTTCGTGATGAATAAAAGAATCTAATTTTTTGTCTGACCATTATTTCAAAAGAATTTTGTTATTCTTTAATACGGTAATAACTGAACATTATCTTACCATTTCAGGTTGCAAGTACCATCCGAGGAGGTCACAAACACTATGTCCTATAGCTCCCCCACTCAAGGTTATAGCTCCCCCACTCAAGCTTATACGTCCACCACTCAAGCAGACACTGCCGCTGTCACCTGTGCAGAAACGATGACCTATGCCCCTCCACCTGCTGTGTCCATGACCGCCTACACCCAGCCGTCTGCCCCTCCCATGTCCCCCTCCTTCGCACCACTGACCGCCCCAAATCTGACCAACGAGTACATTCCTCAGTATGACCCCGTGACCTCAGAAGAGTTGGACGCAGCCGGTGTGGGGCTGGAGTATTTTGGGGGAGGGACTCGATATACATACCAGACAACGCCCAGTTACAACAAACTGCAGATTGAGCCCTCACCCCCCACCACCCCTCGGCCTGTGGGGCCAGTGATGAGAGCCAAGTCTGCCCCAGGTAATTAGATTGTTTGCTGCTGTATCTTTTGTATTGAGAAATATTTTTAGAAATACATGTATTTTTTTTTTTTTTAATGCGGAATAAGCTGAAAGATATTTTTGAATATTGTCACTCTTATTTACATCAATAATACTAATTTTACCCAATATCTGAACACAAGCTAAGATAACATGTTTTGTACTTTGCCTGCAGAAATTAAGGGAAAAATTATTTTGGGTCTGAAAGGGAACTTTAAGTTGCCAATTATTGTGAAGAAGGCAAAGTTGCCAAAATCCATAGCTGAAAACAAATCAGGTACATTGCACATAGGAAGTCTGGTAGTTTAAGTTACATTGAATATAAAGTATTATGATACATAAATGCATGTGCAAACTTTACAGAATTAATGCATGATTTTCAATTTGGTAATAGTACAACATCTGTATATTGTCTTGATAATGCATGTCCATTTAGAGACCATGAATTTATTTACTGGTTGGAAAAAAAATAGAACAGAACAAAGAAAAGCAAATATTCACAGAATGAGGGAGAGAAACTAACTGCACTCATATTTTCAAAGATATAGAAATTTGAAGTTTTCATTGTAAAGATTGTTCACTGCTTTGAATTTGCATGTGCTGCATAATTGTTAGATCCTTTACATATGTTGAATGATTTCCAGATTTTTTTTCCTATGGGAATATTTAAACAATATAATGCTTTCTTTGATTGTTAATATGGGAATTAATTTTGCAGTATTAATATAATAATAGCAGTAATAATAATTAATATTTTCTTGTGGGAAACACCAACTTTTTATTTTATCAAAAAAAATAAAATCGGCAATGCGGCTACCTCAAAACGGATGCGCGCGGGCCTGATTTCAATTTTATAAAAATTTTCTGAAAAAGCTAGAACGTTAATTTCATGCAATACTAACATAGAAAGAAAAATTTTTGTTTACATTTATATCCATATAAATAATAATGATAATAAAAGTAGGATTAAGTATGTTAACTTAAAGTTTCTTATAAATGAAATGTACATCACGGTATATTTCATTAATGAAACAGCTACTGCTTCAGAAATCTAAACTGATGACTTTCTTAATAGGGTGCACTGAATGATTAACAGCAATGGTTTTCGTTTATAAGAAATAAAGAAGATAATATTGAGTGGATGTAATAGATATATTCCAGTTATTTGATTACATTACAGAGGAGCCAAATAGTCCCCCCTTAAGGAGGCCCCTGAGTGCCAAATACTCCTCCTCAAAAGATACCGAATCAAGGGAGGCGGCTAGAAATATTTATAAAATCCCAGAGAGACCAAAAAATGATAGATATTACTCTTCACCAATATGTAGGCGGGTCTCTGATATCACTGTGAGTGACAGCACTGACAGCCCATGCCCCTCCCCCCAACAGTATAAAGGTATCCTCACACGAGTGCTGTGTTTAAAGGCACCTCAACTTCTTTGCTCTTAGACTAAAAAAATTGGATTGTTAAATTAATGATCAATTTGTTTCTTTTTCTTTTTCTTTTTTGGACTTGGCAATAACTTAATTTCTAGAGTGTGTCATCATTTCATTTTCAAATTCTAAGAAAAGAGTTAATACAGCATGCATCCTCAACAACACACTGTCTTTGTTTGCTAGCAAGGAAGGCTTGATTGCAGCACATTCTTTTTGGACTTGCAAAACAAACTTGTAAATTGTATTCTATTTTGCTACATTGTCACTCATGTTTTTTTACATACACATTTAATAAACAGCTATGTTTAGAAGTTAAAAAACACATCCGTCTCTTAATTAACATTCATAATTCAATTGACAAGTTGGTTTTTACATGTACCAGGCAGGGGTAATATATTAAAGTTGCAGAGACTTTTCACTACTATCAAAAAAACTTCGATATCTTAAACTCAATGGGACCTATGAGAAATTTTGAGATATCCAAGTATTCGAGATTAATTCAGGGTAAAATACTTAAAAGATTTGTGGCAGGGACTTCCAAGTCACTTTCGATATATCCATGGTATTTGACACATTGGTGTTAGAAATACCAAAGTTCAACTGTAATTTTTGCATTAACACATTCATCACATTTTGTTTTTGGCAACAGCTGGGGCTCATGTCAGAGGTCAGAACGTCCCTCTTATTCCCACCAGCATGGGTCAAGGTCAGGATTACTTTGACGAGATGTTCCGTGACCTTGCCCGGGAGACCTTGTACACCGCCCCCTCCCCGCCCCCACAGAAACAGCAGAGGAGTAAATCAAGCATGGAGAAGTATCAGAGTTCAGTGTACCATGACTACAACACTGCCACATCCAGGTAAGACCTTCAGTCATGTGACTGTCACATGACCATATTGTGTATTTATTGATATATATAACCCAAATATAGTACGTATTGAAGAGTAGAAGTTTGAGTTATCTTTGTTTATCAATTTTTTTCATCTTCTGTATGCTTGATATTATGCAGTTATATTTTTCTATTGTGTATAATACATGTAGTACCAGCTTTTGATTTTATGTATGATTCAGAATTAAGTCACATACAAGTAGAAAATTAATTTCTACTAAGTTTTCATTTGGTCTCTCAAAATACCAAATATTTGTTACTGCAGGGAAAAAAATGTTAATCACACATATCTCAGAATTTGAAAGTGAGATCATGTTTAAAAGACAGCCAAAACAAAACTTTAAAGTTAAAAAAACTAAAAGATACATGAATGTTTAAACTTTTATTCTATAGCATAATATTAATTATTTAATATCAGGCATTTATTTCAAGAACTTGTAGAATAAAATTCCTTCCTAACCCAACATACATGTATTTTGATAGGAAATACATGCATTAATACCAAAATGATTTTAATTTCAAATAGAAATGAATGACTACAATTTGATGTAATTAGTCTGCCCTTTTGCAGTCGTTCCGAGACCCCCGAGTATCCACAACACTTACTGCCCAAGGACGCTCTTGTATTTAGGTACACCTCCCACCTTTTGCTTGCTTATAAATTCTTTTTTTTTATCTTTTCTTCCATATTTGCCCACCCTATGTAGATATAGTGCTTTTGCAATCTATTATAATGGATGCGTGTGTTCCCACACTGCTATTAGTTTTCCCAGCATGCATCAGTTTGACCTTAGTATATTGCCAGGGGGTGTTATGTTCTTGGTATGTGGAGTGAACCAATTTCTGTAACTGTATCATTTGGTCAGCATTTTAAATTTGAAAATTTTAAGCAAAATGATAAAAATTCTGCCTTCATTCATCCTCATGTTAAATACGATTGTTTCTCAAATACTATTTCATTATGGATGTAGGGTCAGAAACTGGTTTACTCTTTTGACAAAGTGTATTCTTTTGTACTTCTGATGTGTGCTATTGTTTTGAAGTTTAAATCAAGGTTAAAATATATACAGTACACTGTATGTATACTTGTACATGTACCAATGGGTCTTTGGAGTAAGAGAAATTTAGGGATCCAGGTCTGTAAATCACAATTTGTTGGAAAAAGTCTCTTGAAATACATTATTTGAAAAATGAAGCCAAGGTTTTGTTGTAACCATTAAGTAATGAGAATCTTTTAAAGGCACAATATGATTGCAGAATGTATGCTTGCATATGACATATTACCGTACAGTATGTAAATACTTATATATCAGAGTCATAGATGTTAATATTGTATGGCAGACATGGATATTCTATGATATTCCCCATTGTAAATCACAAATTTTGTAAGGCTGCAATTTTTTAGGGAAATGTAGCATTGGATTAATTTGAGAAAAAAGTGATTTATGGGTTTTAACAAGCAAAACTTGCTGCAAGATTCAATTCCTGTTCGATTCCTGTTATTTTGCATTATTGCTTTATATTCGCATTTCTGGCAACCTGATGAAATTATGGATAAGATAAAAGTTTCCATGAATAAATTTAAATAAAGTTCGTAGTAACTGCAGATCTCTAGCTCACTGGCCTCAGACAAGTTGGGATGGTATCCATTCCAATTTTTTTCAGACCAGTGAGCTTTAGATCTGCAGCTGCATTAGTATGTATTAGTGATATATCAGATTATGATGCCAGACTGAGAGTATTTATCTAAAACCTTTGGAACTCTGTTTCAAACTGCTAAAGAAATTTTCTTTTGCCAGTTGACTGTTTCAAATCTGCATCTGCCAATGCCTAAAATATTTTCTTCTCTCTTTATTAATGATAATTAACTAAATATAACTTCATTTTTCTTTTTTTATGCATCTGTCAACGCTTCTCATTTGCATATATCTCTGTAAAAAATGTATTCAGGTGTATAGTCCCCAACATCCCTTTCCATTTGTTTGGATGGTAAATTTAAAAAACTTTGATAAAAATATAAAAGTTTTTTCTGATTTAAGCGGAGTCACTACAGGGTTCATCCTATAAAAATCAGAGCTTGATGAAACTTACTGATCATTTGATCAAAGAATTAAAAATAAGACATAAATATATGCTATTATAGTGGAATTATGTAGGAGTAATTACTAACTTCCATTGATAATAAAGGTTAATATCAAATTTCTTAGGAGGCCAATGGTCAGGCGTCTTCGACCATCTAGTACACACGTACTAAGGTATAGTGGTCATAAATGTAATTCTTAGTTTAACAGTCACAGAGAGAACACCAGCACAACATCTAGAAGGAGTTTGAAATATATATTTTTAAAACAAAAGAATCATTGAATGTAACAGATATTTTTGGCCCTTCAAAAATGACTGTCAAAATTTTCTTCATTTTGATATGAAATATTTAAGCAGCATAATGATCCTAGTTCATCTGTAAAACCTATTACAAAAACCTATTTTTGAGGGACCAAACTTTTTTGGGTTGTTTGATACTTCCTCTTCCGTCTGTCACTTTAAACCACAGAAATGTTAACTTGCCTTGACATATATGAACAACCCACTTAAACTCACCCACACTAATTATGCTAAAAAACTTAAGTCTTTCTTTAGTGTGCGTGAAGTAATTAATGGAGTTCTTTTATTCACTGATTTTTAGCTCACCTGAGCCGAAGGCTCAAGTGAGCTTTTCTGATCAAAATTTGTCCGTCGTCTGTCGTTGTCGTCGTCGGCGTAAACTTTTCACATTTTCATCTTCTTCTCAAGAACCACTGGGCCAATTTCAACCAAACTTGGCACAAAGTATCCTTGAGTAAAGGGGATTCAAGTTTGTTCAAATGAAGGGCCACGCCCTTTTCCAAGGGGAGATAATCAAGCATTTGTTAAAAATTAATGGCATTTTTAAAAAATCTTCTCCAGAACCGCTGGGCCAGGAAAGATGAAATTCATGTGGAAGCATCCTCAGGTAGTGTAGATTCAAGTTTGTTCAAATCATGACCCCCGGGGCAAGGGTGGGGCCAAAATGGCCGACCCAAGTTTTACATAGGAATACATAGGAAAAATCTTTAAAAAATCTTCTTCTCCAGAACCACTGAGCCAGGAAAGATGAAATTCATGTGGAAGCATCCTCAGGTAGTGTAGATTCAAGTTTAATCAAATCATGACCCCCGGGGCAAGGGTGGGGCCAATATGGCCGACCCAAGTTTTACATAGGAATATATAGGAAAAATCTTTAAAAATCTTCTTCTCAAGAACCACTGGGCCAGGAAAGATGAAACTCATGTGGAATCATCCCCAGGTAGTGTAGATTCAAGTTTGTTCAAATCATGACCCCCGGGGCAAGGGTGGGGCCAAAATGGCCGACCCAAGTTTTACATAGGGATATATAGGGAAACCTTTTAAAATCTTCTTTTCAAGTACTTCAAAGCTATGATTAGTGATATATATATGGAATCATCCTCAGGTAGTATAGATTCTAGTTTGTTCAAATGATGAACTCCTAGAGGGGAGGGGGTGAGTAAATTCAAGCCCGATGTGCTCAGGTGAGCGCTGTAGCCCCTGGGCCTCTTGTTATAACTTTTTTTTGTTTTAGTTGTAATCATTCATTTTGAAAAAAAATAAAATATAAGTTGTACACTTAAAGGTATTGTAGTCTGTCCTATTTGTAATGGAATAAAACTGCTTCATTTTTTTTCCTTACAAAGAAATATGTAACTGTTACAGTTAATATTTCAAATAACTTTCTAAAATTTACTATGGTTCAGTGACAGAATAATTTTGATATGTCAGCTAAATACTTCCATTTTTTTTTTAATAAAGAAAGAAATGACTATTTCCAAATTTAAATAAGAAAGATAACTCTTAATTAATTTGTGAAAAAAGACTACTCTTTATTAAATTGAGAAAACAATGCAATGCAATTAACATGATTAAGAACCAAGAATTCTAGTTATTATTAGAGTTTGCATCATACCTCACAAGTTAAAAAGTTCTACAAATGTCTTTCCAAATGTACATAAAGCATTAAATTGAGGAATTGATTTTTAAATTTTTTCCTTTGTTTCTTACAAAGGATATTAACTATAAAGTTTATTTACACAGTATTAGAAACTATAAAAACCAATAATTAATGTTTAATAATTTACCATGCTCAAGCTATTGGAAATTAAACCACTACCGTTGAGAGCTTTATACACAGGAAATCAATTTAAAACTTTCTCCTAAACTTGTTTGACGTCGGGGCACTATTTGCCAACTGTCTGTGGATCCAAGAACTTGTATGTAGGTGAAACTTGATAAGCGGCCATGGGCAAATAATGCTTTTAATATGTACCATGGCAAGATAGGAACATTTAAATGGCCCGCTGTTGATTAAAGCATTGTCTTCGTTCAGTAAATCCAGTGCCGGCTTACTGCTACTGGTTGATCAATACTAGCTACACTTAGTAACCATTGTAATCTTGTAAACCCCACATTACTTTTTTGAAAACAGGGGCAGTTAATTTTTTCAGGGATCTATTCTTGTGTTCTGTTAAATATTTTCTTTGGTGATCTTTAAATATTGATGGTTGACAGATTTGATTTTTTTTTATTGTGCCGGTGGAGTTTTGAAGAAATCTGATTTGAGACTTTATATTCACTGACAATGGAGTCTTCTAATTCTTTTGACAGTGCTGTTGGGGATATCAAAATTCTAGAAGTCAATCAAGAAGGGAAATATGTGCGATTAATGAATGAGAGCAAACAGGTAAGGTATAAATGGCATATATATAAATGTAACGCTTAATGAATGTGTAACATGAAACTAATTACATTGATGATGAAAAGTCACTGAGTTCAAACAAATTTTGATTTTTGTGCAAATATGTTAAAGAATAACTCATTACTTAGATTATAATTACTACCTAAAATTTGGTAAGATTATTATACAAACCTGTTGTGATTTTAAAGAAAATTGATCATCTGTTTTAAAAAGACAAAAAATATATTCAGGATTTTTTATCAATTGTTTCAATTCAAAAATTTTCTATCAAAAGTGACATCTCATAACAATTTCTAAAATGGCATGTAGAGTAAAAATCTTTGATATATCTCTTCAGTATAATTGTTTTGATTTGCCAAAATATACAAGCTTGCAGCTTGAATAAACTGAACAATTAAAGCTTATAATTATGATGATAATATTGGCTAGGGTTTGATATTTAGACATGAATTGAAAACAAAAGACTCTAGCATATCTTGGGACATGGCTATCATGTTCAATCTGCCCTGACTGTCAATAATGCTTTGAGAAGTCACTCAATGCAACATTAAACCACTGTTTTTACATGTGCCGGCATTTACATGCAACCATAAGCTCTTTTAAAAAGCCCTGTTACATTGATCTGATTGCTTCAACCAAGGGTCACTGCATACAAATAAATTGGCATGTACTGTCAACATTGTAAAAAAGGGAGACTTTTTTTTTAATGGAAGCTTGATGCAGTCCTAGGTGAAAAATGAATCATCTGGTATTTAAAAAAACATTAAAATAAAAACTATACTGAAATTAATCTTGTGTCTAAAATATTTTTAAAAATCTTTTCTTGTAATCTTCTTAAATATGTTTAAAATATAAAAGCACTAATTAATTTTTACAGCCGGGATTAACATGTTCAATAGGCCAGCAGGCATTTAATTATTAAAATTGAAGGGTATACATACATATTTTGATTAGAAATTTACTTATTTCATCTTCAGATAATTTGAAAGTTTTAAATTTATAGATGAATTTACTGAGAAGATTATTTACCATGTATAAGATTATAGTTACTTACATCATAAATAAACAAACAAGACAAAGAACTGATGATAAAGCAATACAATGATTGGCTTTTGCAATGAATTTTTTTCCTTTGCTTGGCTTTAGGAGGCAGAGTTTGGAGGTTACATGATACAACAAAATGTGGGAGGGCATCCCGTGGCTGTGTACCGATTTCCTCCCAGGACGAAGTTCCCCCCAAACTGTACCCTCACGGTGTGGGCGGGAACAAATGACCCCATTCTACACCAACCCCCCTCAGATTATGTTTGGAAAGAGCAGCAGAAATGGGGTACAGGACCAGAGTGCACGACCATTCTGTGTAAACCCAATGGGCAGGTGGGCACATTTTATAATTTTCTTAATTTTATTAATTAATCATTATAATATTTATTAATTTCATTAGTACAATTGTTTTTCAATATTCATTTCACTTTATTTTTTTTGCATTTTAAATTAAGCCTCTGTAGGAATATTTTGAATTTTTTTTCCATTTGTTCTGTCTTTGATTTCAATTCTGAATAGCTGGGTGCTAATAACAAAATCTTACAAGAGTATTATAGATGCATATTGTATAAATGCATATTCTTTTTGATAAGACCAAAAGTTGTGATTGTCGGGGAGAAAAAATTCAGATCAGTGTTGAATTATGGCGGATATAGACTCCCCAAAGTAGAAAATTGTGGCCATAAATTATACAGCTCAGCCACCTTATTAGTTGTAAGGTTTAAACCTGCACTCATAAGTTTCTCCATTTAAGTGTCTCAAGTGAGAGTTCTAAGATCAATTACTGATAAGAATTAATCCCTGGCTTGAAGGAAATGAGACCTTAGTTGATACTATCCTATGGGATGCTTTTCTAGTCCTCTTAGATTTTAAGTACCTGGGTACTTTTTCAGATATTGAAATGTTAAGAAATGGTTTAATTTAGTTTACTTAAGAAATGGTTTAATTTAGTTTACATCAATAATAAACATTCAAATGACATGATATAGGTGAAATTGAATTGCAGCAGAAATGATTAAAATGTGTATTTTAAGAGAAGAATACAAATTTAATATTTTAGATTTTAATGTTAGCATACATGTAACTGAAATTGTGATTTTTATTGCAGGCAATAGCTTGGACCACAGCTGCACATAGATTCACAAAAAATGCATTTGAGGAGCCCTCACCCACTGCCCAACCTGTGGTGGCAGGTAGGTTTTTTCATGTACATAGGCCAGAATAAAAGAGTACATGTACCATTGTGGCATTGAATAGGCTATTTTAATGCAATTTTTTGTAAAACTCATTTTGATTGGATAATGCACTGATGTTTGAACCAGTAAATTGAGCATTTATGAGTTTTAAAGCTTTTCAAAGTGACGTCGTAATAGAGCTACGCTAAAACACAATGCTTTGTGATGTATTTCATATAATAAAATTCAACAAATAAGACATAAACATCAAATAAAATGCATAGATTGCATTAGAATGGGAATAACTGTCTTCTAATTTGGTATTTGCAACCATTAATGCTGATTCAACCATCGCAAACATCCGTTTTACCGACTTGATGCGTCGCTGGTAAAACTCAGTTTGCGACCGTTAAATCAGCATTAATGGTTGCAGATACCAAATTAGAAGGCAGTTATTCCCTAATTTACATGTACCACACATTAGCAAGACTTTGACATTACACATTGTACATGTAGTATTTCATTGGAGATGATTTGGCGTAAAAGTTAGGAAAAAATTGTATGATTTCTTGATTTTTCTTAGAAATGATGAGTTTATGAAATATTTAACACTTTCCAATTGACTAATGTAAAAACTTAACATTGAACAGATGAAGCCATTCCCGATGATCAGAATATAGACACAGACAGTCTAACAGAGATGACAGTCAACATCAATGAACCAAAACCAGACTCAGTGTACCTCAAAAGGTAGGTTAACCAATTAAAACTAGACTCAGTTTACCTCAAAAAGTACGTCAACCAATCAAATCATACTCAGTGTACCTCAAAAAGTACGTCAATCAATCAAATCAGACTCAGTGTACCTCAAAAGGTACGTCAACCAATCAAATCAGACTCAGTGTACCTCAAAAGGTAGGTCAACCAATCAAATCAGACTCAGTGTACCTCAAAAGGTATGTCAACCAATCAAATCAGACTCAGTGTACCTCAGAAGGTCCAACCAATCAAATACCAGTGTTCAAAAAGTAACCAATCAAATCAGACTCAGTGTACCTCAAAAGGTAGGTCAACCAATCAAATCAGACTCGGTGTACCTCAAAAGGTATGTCAACCAATCAAATCAGACTCAGTGTACCTCAAAAGGTAGGTCAACCTATCAAAACCAGACTCAGTGTACCTCAAAAGGTACGTCAACCAATCAAATCAGACTCAGTGTACCTCAAAAGGTACGTCAAGCAACCGAAACCAGACAACATGAAATATAGATCAGCAAATGAAAACCAGATTTTTGTACCTAAACAAATAGGTCAAGGTCATTAACCTAACATAGATTTATTTTTGTACACCAAAAGAAAAGTTTTCAATCTTGCAAAATGTTGCATAATACATGAGTTATATTTTCAAAAGTATACACAGGAAGCACTAAGACTTGTAGAATTCTAAGCTGATTTTCCGTTTTACAGGGAGAAACAGCAACCTAACGTGTTAACCCCTCAGAAGCACCCCCATGGTACCTCCCCGGGGAAAGAAATCCACCCCCACACAGGTCAGCCCCGCCCCTATACGTACGGGAATGACAACAGCAGTGTGAACCGACAGTCCAGATCACAGACAACACGGCCTGACCCAGTCAATGGTAAGGGGCAAAGAAATTCAACAGAGATACCGTAAAACACTTTTTATGCCCCAGGATTGAAAGATCCTGGGGGTATATAATGTAAAACAATTTTTCACACCAGAATTGTGTTACCATTGGTGGCATAGTGTTCTATAAACACATCTTGTTATTTGTAAGTTTTTAATATTTGTGTTATTACAAGAGATGGTGTTCGCACAAAATTACCATTCTTTTGTTTGTTTTTATTAGAATATAATAAATATAATTATAAATTAAAAGCATGAAAATTTTGTCTTGCTTATATACATACCAAATACATATCTCCTGCGAAAAATTTATCATCTAATAGCTGCAATAGGCATTTATTTGTACACAAAAATAGGTAAATGAATGATTTTCTATGAGGAGAAGCAAAAGAGGAGATTTTGAGACAGAGTATTGAAATGTTCACGATGAAATAACCTGATTTTTTTTCTAAAAGATTTTTCTTTGCAATTTGGCTTCCATTAAAATTTTAGAAAAGAAATTTAGCTTTTAAGTTGTTAAAAATAGAGAAAGTTTTGATTTTCCATCACATCTTTGAAATTGATATGTGCATGTTTCTACAGGTCAGCCTTATGCAGGGTCGGCCCAGAAGATGGGTAGTGCTCCACTGAAACGTTACACCCCCACCAATATACGAGGGAATGGCTGTATTGTTAACAAAGCAGTAAGTACATACATAACATTTCAGGTGAAGATATCTAAGGGCAAGGCTTTAAAACATAGAATATTATTTTGTTGTAATCTTTAGCATTTGATTTGCAAGGGAAATTGTTAGAGTAATTTTTTTGATCATTCATTTACTTGCGCATTTTGTGATATTTACTTTTCACATGGCAGCTCCGTCATACAAGCGATATTAAGTGTAATTTACATCTGTATTGTTTTATATGTCATTGACTAAATATGAGTTTGTTAATTAATATGAAATAACAATGTGACTAATTATTGATTATTGGAGCTGATGCTTAATTACCACATCTTCTGAAATATAACCCCCCTATTTTAATTTTAACACCTTCCCAGATTCAACTAACTTTCTTAATTTCAAGTACTTTGCAATTTCAGTAAGCAAAATAATAATCTACAATGCAAATATTTATTTTGTTGGATGTTACAATATCTAAAAGTTAAAGTTCATCGTACAGAAGAATAAAAAATTTTAAGAGGTCTGTCAGATGCATATTCATTTAAAAAAAAGATTAAGTTTGAACTAGGAAACAAAATTGAAAACCAAGTACATACTCATCATATATCTTTCTATCTATTGCTCTTAATTGCTTCTTTAATTAATAATTTTATCTTATTTTTAACTTTTCAAATTTATTTTACAACCTCTCAGACATCACTGTCATGCAAACCTGACAATAAAACGATGAGGGATAAAAATCGGTAAAAGTTCACATGAAGGATGCATGTCTGTCGTAATATAATGTTGAGTATGCATGATATGTAAATTAATTTCTGTGACATGTTTAGAACTCAGAGCATGGTTATTGCACTTTTTCATTTTCAGTTCACTGTGCAGGGTATAATTTAAAAAAAAAAATTGAAAGGAAATATGATTGTAGAACAGATTGTTTGCAAAAAAAGCTAGAAATTATTTCAAATAGCATCTTTCGTTTTGTTTCTTTTTTTTTTTTGACTGATGGGGTAGGGGGATGGGGGTTCCATAGCATTGAGCATGCAATCATTTGAAAAAAAGACAAGTATAAAAATGGCTTAGTGTAACAAAGCTTGTAAATTTACTAGGGATGTCAAATCGGTCATTTTTTAATACTCGGTTACTCGAACGTTTTTCCGATCGAGTACCCGGGTACTCGGTATAAGTGTAAATAAATAAGAACAAGTAAATTGATGAAAGTAAAACATTGTAAACACTTGTAGATATAAAACCAAATGCTCTGATAGGAGGTTTACACGTAAATGCATTTCTGTTGTAACAATGATGAGAACTAAATTTAATACAACATTTATTTAAGTTCAATTTATTTATCTGATAAACACAAGAAATAAAATATGAGTGGTTCATGGTGTTTTTGTTTAAAAAAAAATAATCTAGCTACTCCGTAATTGTAATACGTAACTCTTTGTTCATTTGACGTCAAGGTATATATCAGTCGTACAGTTTGACTTAAACTTGACCAAGTTCTGACAGAGTCGATTTACGATTTTCGTATACTTTTCGATCTTAGATTATATCATATATATATGATATGATATATATATCTTAGAGTATCACGGGACGGTATTTTTTAGTTTGGTGCAACGATGGACATCAGTTTTTTAAAACCTTTGCCTTCAACTATTTGTACATGAATTGGCATGTAATCAAACACAACCATATCAACAGTCGTGTGTGTAATATCATCTGTCTCTTTTCCCGAGAATTTATGGCTTCTCGGAGAATTGACAAAATTATCTAATTTATTTAATCATAATCATATTTAATCATAACAGACCTTAAACGATGTTCAGTGAAAACAAATAATTAAAGATAATCAAAAAAAAGGGTAGAAGACAGCCGAAGTTGAGAAAAGCCAGGTAACAGGTACTTGGTCACGATAATTACTGTATAAACACTGCCACGGGCGATAACGGTCATTTAGTGGAGTAGGAAACCCTAATTAATGTATGTACAAGTGCAATGAGTATTTTACGTTTTAAAACAGATTGTTTAATCCATTAATAAATAAGCTTAGAAATATTCAAAAATATACATCCGAGTAACCGAGTACCGATTTTAGTAAGTTTGTAAATTGACATCCCTAAAATTTACACATACTATCTATGTAGTGGTAAATATACATGTATTGGAATTAAAGTATTGGACGATCATTTTAATAACTAACATTGTAACATTTAATAAATAATCACAAAGTTTATGTGTGCATGATGTGTATTTGGTCTCAATGTTGCTGCATGCATGTTCAAATTACTGCGCAAATTGAAAGCTTAAAAAGCGTAAGTCATGCAATTCTAATTGAATAATTTATTCATGCATAGAAAAGGTCAGTTTATTTTTACATTCTTTAGGATCACAAACAAATTTTAATATGTTTTCTAAGCATTAAAGCTAACTAAGTATTATAAAGCAAACTATACTGTAAACGTATTATATTTTGCTGTGTATTCTTTTTAGCACTGTTGGCGGAAAGACGCTACTGCTAATTCAAGTACAATGCTAAATGTTTTGTACTTATATATGTAAATAAGAATGATAAGATATGCGCTAAATCAAATCTACGCGAACTTGTTCAAAACCCAATTTCTGCCAAATATTGTACAATACATTTGTAGTAATCTGGAATGGCCAGGATAGGGACAAGTTTTTATCTTGAAGCAAGTTGGAACTTTCACAAAACTAATATACATCATTTCTCTACAATGTTCTAAATACATATGAGGTGATGGTTATATGTTAACTGGTTCTCTGAACTGGTTCTCTGATGTTTTATTTTCAGAATTCTAGTTTCCTGAACTACCTTCTGGCATCAGCTCCTGAACACTGAACATGTAATTTGTTCTCTCACCACCTATCCCAATATGTTCAAATCTTGTTTATTAATTGAATTTTTAAAAGGGGTTGGGGGAAATTTATAAAATACAATTATAAACTGCTATTTTAATTCATTCAAAAGCTGATTTTTTTTCATCATGCTTGTGCTCAATTAAACACAAGATCTGGACATTTTGGGCCCAATTTCCCCAACTCTGTAACTTTTACATCAAGTCTTTTGTGAATTAAGGCATGACAGAGCTTTGGGTGGAGCGATAAATTATAATTTTTCATGCAAGACTTGGTGTACAGAGCTTACTAAAGATTGATTAACAGAGACAAACATTAACATACCCAATTTACCCTGTGATTTGTTCATCCTTTAATTCACTCATGTCAATATTTCCCATGCATCTGAGATATAAACATGTTTCCATGTACTTTTGTCAAATTGAAAGAATCTTTTTTATGTTGCCATGGCAACTGAAAAAGATTTTAATTAATTAATCAATGTGTGTTCTCTGACTTGCATCCCTCTGTCTAACAAAATCCAAGGCAATATTAACATTGTTCAGATGGTCACTAAATATTAATTGATAAATTTCTTGGAATGGTCTCAAAATTTTTTAATTCAATGCAGTCCATGAATTATATTAAAAAAACAACTTATTTATGGATGTCGCTGAAAGAATTTTAATAATAAACTCCATTATTCTTGGTATAAATAAATAGGGGGTATGGTAAAATTAAAAGGGTTAACATGTACATCTCTAAGTCCTTGGATCCTTTGACCTATATTTTTGTGCATAATTAATAGGAAAGGTTAAAGTTCACTCTCATGTCATCATCCTTATACATCCTCATTTTTGGTGGTAGTCTTGTAGTGTATGAGGAGGATCCAGGATTTTGGTAGGTATGAGGGATGCAGGTCTAGCTAGAGCTGTGGTTATTTGTTTGTAGGCCGGTACGATACGTGTGGGCCCAGCCTCCCCCTTCTCCTCCCCCCTGCAGCAGGAGTATAGTAACAGTCGGCCCGCCTCACTCGTACGCTTCTCTACCTAGAGGTGCGTGGTCTTCATCTGCTTGTTTTTCTTCCAGTCTGAAGTATAAATAATCCTCTGTGTTCAATTTGAGAATCTTGCTGTAGCATTACAGAGTGTTTATAGGTTTTTATTGCTCTTAGAGCCAAACCCATTAATTAATAAAAATTATAGGTTTAACTTTGATTTTATGTAATTTTGAACATAATTTTTTTCTGACCATATTTATAACTATTTGAGTGATTTAGATGTTTTATCATTATGAAAGAGAAAATGTTTTGTGTTAAATTTAGTCATTAAATCAAGATATAGACATTATTTATGGACAAGTAAACTTTGAAGTAGTGCATTAGGATTTATTTCCTTTAATTCAGAAATTCCACAAAGAAATAGAATTCCAAGAATTTGTGATTTTGTTTATATAACCATGATTGAAATTTGATTAATAATGATTTACATGTTTGAAGATATAACATTAACACAAGTGATTTGATCCTCTATATAACATGCCAGTTTGTTGTTATACCTTTCTCATTCAATCTCTATGTGTGATTGTTCTCAATCCAAGACCAAAAATCTAAATCAATTTTTAATTAACATGGAAAAACATTTCAACAAATGTGTCCCCATAAATAATTTTTCTTTCAAAAGCTTATAATATTGATCTATGAAATTTTTAATTTTTTTTTTTTTTTGCAGGATGTAGGTAAAACTTCAAGTCCACCTAACCCTTTCATGTCACCGCATGTCAAGTTTCAGACAGGCCTAGATCAGATCCGCTCCCAGCACAATGAGGACTTCATGCCTCCCATGCCCCGCCCACCTCTCTTCTCATCATGGTAGCTCCGCCTACTTTCTGTTTAGCTCCTCCTACTCTTAATTTTTGTGTGTCCAATCTGTGATGGATTGATGAATGTGTGAATGTTTTCTGCAAGGGAAGTTGGATTTGATACAGCCTGGGAAACAATGACTTTCAGCATTAGGGTGGTATAGTGGAGTCTGGAACTTACTTTTTTCAAACATTTTGCAATTTTTAATTAGAAATAAAGCAAATGAAAAACAGCAGGAGGGATAAAACTGATGGTTTGAATTTCTGTCCTTTTTCTTTGTGCCAATTGAGGTGGGTGGGATTCATGCCACATTTACATTTAGCTTACATTTTCTCTAGTATATATGTTGAAGAAAAACACTTTTTTCTTGAGTGTTTGAACACAAGCTATGCAGAGTTCATCAATTTCAATTTTTTTAAAATTATGAAATACATATTAATAGATACTGTAGTATCATCAAATTAAATCATAGGTGAATAATGTTTGACTGATTTTGTTGTTCTGTGTATTTTTAAAAGTATTATTTCTTTTGTTTTTGTTTTTTTTATTTGAATGTTTTTTAGTTTATATTAGAAAATGCCAGGCATGCATGGAAAGCAGGGGTATGTGTTTCATTGTGACATTTCTAGCCTGAATATTTGCTCAGATTTCCCCCGATAAATTGATTCAACAGGGTCTGTTTTGCTTGTCTTAATGCTAACAAAACACAGAAATTTTGCTCTATTCCAGTTTATTGTTATATAAATGCTTTTCATCCTTTGTTGTTTTTTTAACTACAGTCAAACCTCTTTATGTCAACCTCCAGGGAAAATTGAGATTTCAGAGGATTTGAGTTGTTTTTTGCTTATTTAAAGAAAAATTGGTTGATACCTTCCAGTATAATTTGAAATAGACATGAATTTCAAGTCTCCAAAGTTCACCTGTATGTTAATAGTTTAAACAGAGGTATTTTGATGTTTTCTTGAACATATTTTAATTGCAAAGTGATAATGAAACAATGAAGACTCCTTGATATTAATTTTAAGGAAATTAATTTTAGTTGCAACAATTTACTTTATTTGTAACCTTACATGGAAATAAAGTTTGTCTGAAAATGATGTATTTATGCCATACATTAATTGATGATCTAATTACCCAGGACACAGAGCTTGCACTAATTATCGCAAACATGCACATGGAAAAATAGGGAGCTGTATTTATGTGTCTTGTCTATTATGCATAATGATTATGAAAATTTATTTTTATACATGTAAAAATGCTTAGTACTTGTAATCCATTTTTCTGTGATAGAAACTCAATGCCATATATTTTATCTGCTGAAATTTTTGCTGCCTTTCAGGGCTTTGATGTCAACAGAGTTTATGACTTATTAACTAGTTTTGCTAAGATTTTTTTCCACCTCAGAATATGGAACTACATGTAGCATGTATGATATTTTTGTTATTGGGAATGCATTGTTTTGTATTGAACTGTGATTTAAGAATTCATTTTTAAATGAATGACCCAAAAAATCAAAGAGTAAATTTGACTTTCCAGCCATGTTCGAGATAAGGAGAAACCCCAAGTTTGAGAGGCTACCTGATAGTCGGGTTTTACTGTATTATCTTTGGTCTGAATCAAGCGTTTGTGATGCTGAATGTATCTTATGTAGTCTGCGCTGTATCAAATGTTTTATTTTGTCTTTTACTGCTTGTTCCATCCATGATTGTTATCTGTGATAATTATGTTATATTTTTATTATATATTCAAATTATAGAAATGACTAGACCACATTTAACAAATTTTTGCTAATTTTGATAGAGTACATATTTATACAGAGAGCTTAATAAATATGTAGAAATTTACAATGACTAGTTTGTTTTCATAGGAATTATGGTGGAAAATTTTTAAAACAATGTATTTATGAAGATGTTTTAGTTATATGAAAATTCCACTGAAATTAAGTTGGAACATGACAAAACATATTGTGAAATGCTCTGCAGTGCTTTTCAAAACTCGCTTATTGTAAATCTAGTAATTATACCCCTGCTCAAAAAGCAAGAGGGTATATAGTGATCAGGATGTTTGTCCATCCGTCTAGCTGTACGTCTGTCTGTACGTCCCTTCTTCTATTACACTTTGGGGTACCCATCTCTTATTTGCAACTCCTTTTATACTACTGAATGATATTTAAGACTTTCACAGAATCTTTCTCAGACAGTGCCATAGTGCACCTCCTATGTTACTTTTTGATCTTTGACATTTATTACAGGTCTTGCAGAGCAGAACAAGGATTTTAGAAATTACTAATTATCTCTAGCATAAAGCCTTGTAGCAATTATCTTTTATCATTAGTGCTTGCTGCATGTTCATAGCATGAACGGTAATAAAGGGGTACAAAAAATCAATTTCATGGTCCTTTACCCCCCCCCCCCCCCGAAGACCTGAGGAATGGTACTCAAAGCAACAAAATAGAACCTTAAAAACATGATTGTATTCATTACTCCAGTACATCCAACAGTCAAAATGTTGGCATGATTGTAATAAGCATTGAGACCTTTATCAAAATTGTAAAAAAATATTGCCCAACGATTAGGGTTTGTTTTAAGGCGGAGCTCTAATAATGTGTTGTGAAAATGTATATTTAAATTCTTTTCAATCCCAGTTTATTTATCTGATAAACTAGATGCATGGTCATAATGATCATACGTGCCTTTTTAAAAAATTGTAAATTTCATGATCCCTTGTCTCAGGTTCTGGTGATAGGATGGGGTTCTATAGATTGTGCATGTATAGTGAAATGCATTAATTCTTTGAAAATTTCTCCTTGGTATTAAAAAACATACATAATTTTGTTATATAATATATGAGCCGTCCCATGCGAAAAGGGCCCTTATGTACTTTGACGTCATAATGAGAAAAACGACGGTAAAGATAACGTCATAATATGCAAGTTGCAAGTGAGACATTTCTCAACTTTTTAACATGAACGTAATCAATTTTTTTTCATTATTGTGTACATACGAACTAAAGCCTATCAAATATTTTTAAAAGGAATATCTGTATTTAGCTCAGAGCTTTGTTTCACTTGGACATTTCCAATAATGAGCATAAATTTTGCTAAAAGATGATACTTATTCCGATCATAAGATTTTTTTAATATCCAATGTTTATACGTATTGATAGAGGTTGTACCTGCATGTAATTCCGTATTTGTCATGTACACTTCCTTTTAAATGCTAAAACATCATAACCAAAGTCAATTGTTTTGCAAGAGAAATTCTTTTACTGCAATAAAAGTTCAAGTTTGTTCACATTCACGATTAAAATTTTGCTGAGGTCTAGCGAGGCCAAGGAATTTGAAAAAGTTTGATGACCAATTCTTCGTAAAGCAGATACATAACAAGGTAAACATCTGAATTTTGTAACAGGATTTTACAACGCGAAATTAGATCTATATATTTTGTCTGTATAAACGTCATAAATGATGATTTGCCTCCGTAACAGCCAATATGACATGAGTCAATTCTATTTAAGTACAGAAATATTTGACATTACAGATGTATTGTGTAATTTTGTAATATTTAGGGGAGAGTCGGGAAAATAAATGAAAAAATCCTTTTGAGACCCCCCTCCAAAATAAAAGAAATAATGCTTCAAATTAAAAAAAAAGAGACTTTTTTTTTAAAAAAAAATAGGGACGTTGATGCTATAAAGGGGGGGGGGTGGCAACTGGTTCTTTAGAAAACATCCTCGGACTAATTCAACAAATGGCTGCTTCTAATTACAAAATTAATTTACAAATGAAGAAAGCGATATTATATTCAACATATTTCAAAACAAACATAATATCCTGGAAATTTTATCTGAAAGATTGAATACAATATCGTTTTGAATTTTTTTTTTAATTCTCATAAAAATGCTCGCAAAATTTATCAGAAATGAATACCGGCAGATTTAACAAGTCGTATACATGTATACAACATGCATGCACAGATCTAGGAGGGGGAGGGGGGGAGGGGTAAAAATAACAAGTTACATTCCACGATTTAATGAAAAAGACACAAATAAAATGTATTTCAGGGGGATAATCCAGTCTCCATTTTCAATTTAAAAATGACCAAAAACAGCAGTTCATTAATGTCGGCGATACCACCAGAGATAACTCAATTGATGCAATATACATGTAGATCTATACAAGATTATCCATTCAATTTCATCACAATTTAGCTCAGAGGCGTTGCAGAGATATAACAAGTTAGACTTTTAAGCAGTCTGAAATGGCTGTTTTAAGCTGGTGTTCCCAAATGTTTTTACGTAAATTTTCGAAAAATACGACATGTACAAATCAGAAAGTCACAATATAAAGGCAAGTAAATGAAAGATTTTCTATGATAGAAAAGGCAGTTGTATTTTCTCCTCAACTGATTATGTTAATTTTCATTTATTTTTTACCGTAATTCAAATTTGTTTCGAAATATCTTTTTTTTATTTTAAAAATTAATTATGTATTTATTTTTGCAAAATTATGTGTTTGTTTTAAGGGCATAAAAGCATACATGGAAATTACGTATCTCCTTTTTTTTCAAAATTGATGTGGATTTTTGTGCGTAAAAACATACGCCTGGCTACCCCCTGTCAAAAGGTAAAACATCTCTTATTTGTAAAAAAAAAAAAAATGTCACCTTCTGAGAGCTTCGCCCCCAGACCCCCACAATGGCCTTGGCTTAGACCCACTAGGGGCTTCAGTGCAGCCCCAGACCACCTGCCTTCTGCTGCGCCCTCCCCCCTTTACAAAGTTCCTCGATTTGTCACTATTAATTAATGCAGACGGACCCCCTCCCATCAATAAATTTTCTGATTCACTCTAGAAGCATCCCCTCATATATTTATCTAAGTCACAAAATCAAAAATATTATACTGATTAGTCCATAATAAAAGAAATCCTAGATTCTCATCTGAATTTTTGAAAAAAAAATTGAGGACAGGGAGCGGCTTATGTTTTATATTTTTTTAAATTTTGCAGATTTTTTTTTATTGACCTGGTCAATCGTTGCAAATTTATCTAGAAAATCCGAATAAAAGTCATAGCAGAGATTCATTTATCTCTTACTTCACATAATCACCATTTTTTCTCAATCAATGACCCAGTTGTAAAATCCATGCTGATTTTCGCGGGATTTAACACAAGAGTTGAGTGGTAGAAAATACCGATCCCGATCATAATTAAGAAAAACGGAAATAAAAAGTCGAGGCGGGAGTAAAAAAAATCTGGCTGGGCGGAGATGAGAATCTTAGATATATTTTTATAATGACCTTATGAACCATAACGTGTACAATGAACATCTATCGTATATAATAGTATTATCTGTTTTATCGTAATGGATTATTTTTTTAAAGGAAATATTTTTATGTAAGTAAAATACAAGAATGTAAAATATGTATTGTATGTCAAAATATTTAAACAAATAGCTTTTCTTCATTTTTTAAAAAATTCTTTTTCCCTGTTTAAATATTCTTGCCAAACATGACGTCATATTTTTAAAGCTTATAACGTTATTAGGAAAAACCAAAAGCTCTTAACCGCTGCAAAATCATTATCCGTGTTTTATTAATTAAAAAAAATTATTCATAAAGGTTATTTAAAATCAAATTTTTCCAATTAATGTGTATTTTGAATTACCAGAGAGACAATATTTCTGTAACTTGCAAAAATGCTGACACTTCCTAAATGTACTTACAAGTCTTGTCTGATATCGAGTCTGAAATGTGTCTTTTTTCCTGTATGGCTTTATATGCAATCATATCTATTTAAAATTTATCATTAGATCGGTTGTGACAATTAGTGCATGATTAAGAATTAATTTTACGAAAACATTTATTTCAAATATTGCATGTAAAACAAAAGCAAAAGTAACGGCTTAAGACCTTTCAATCCGTGAACCGATAACTATATAAAATGATTTAATTATTAAGCGTCATTTAGAACGTCATTTTTTAACGTCAATTTTAGCGTCTTTTCAATATTTTCTGAAACTTTGATTGCCTGTATCTCAGTCATTAGTTGGAATATTTGAATGAAACTTGATATTTGGTCATTTTACACTGTGTGCTGTCATAATCCATTGAAAAGTCAATTTTGATAATTTTAACCTTAAGGGCCCTTTCTGCATGGAACTTTTTTGAAGACCAACTTCCTTTCACTTCCAAATTTTTTTTATACATTACATTTCCTTCATATTAATATACTGTGGTAAGAAGTGGGGGGGGGGGGCAACCAACCTTTCAATGGACATTTTCAATAGTAAAGGTAATGTTGGGAGAAAAAAAATAGCCCTCCTGGCCCTGAAATTGAGATGATCGAAAATTTCGTGTATTTATACTGCCATTTTTGCTTGCAAGATATTTCGGTCTAACGCGCTTCATGCAGATGTCTAGAACTTGATAGAAAAGTAAAGAATTTTTGAAATTTAGCTTTTTTGCAGTTGAGGTAAGAATTTGGAAGAATTAATCAAGAACCAAACGCAAATTTTTGTGAGCAATAAATATCCAGTTTTTTTCAATGGGTGGCACTGTAGCTCTCAGGTCTGTCAATATTTTTTTGGGAAAGCTACAGTTCTGCAGCTAATTCTAATGTTGACGTTTAGATTTTAAAAATCCGCTTAAGGGTGTACAGATTTTGGCGCGCTTTAGTATTATGACGTAAAGGTGAATCTATTCGTAACGTTATATTATTTGTCCGTTACATATACATTTGGAATATTATTATTCATAAGGAAATTTGATAAAATCTGATCAGGTAAGTGAAATATTGAATATTTTTAATAAATCTTTGTAAAATGGACTGCAGCGTTCTGCAAGAAGTGAACTTGTAAAACTACGAAGCTAAATTATTGAAAGGAGAAAAAAAAAAACACTGAATGAAAATTTTCCTAGTTTTTCTTAGATTCTTTTAGAATTATTTTTGAGTTGTGTCTTACTTTGGAAAAAAGGTTAAGTTCTCTTTTATTTTACGAAAACTTTCGATGACGTTGCTAAGGGTGATGCAGGATGAGGTCGTTGTGTTGTGACAACAAGCTCATAGTAACGGCATCAGTCGTAGCGAACGGACGTGCAAAAATTTCAGAGCGAAAAAAACTGAAAATTGACAATGAAACGACTACTTTCATCTGAGGATTTCTGTACTGAAGGGAACATAATGGTATAAATTACCTTTATGAATGTTCTTTTAGTTACATAATTTCCCAAATATGGAAATATTCAATGAAGTAAAAATTCATGAATATCCTAGATCAAACTCGAAAGAAATGTTCGAGGGTTCAATTTTGCCAGAAAAAAAGACAGGGTTCCAAAATTACACATCCCACCAAAAAATTGAAAAAAAAATAATGAATGTTAAAAATTTCCATTACATTTTTTAACATTAATTAATACGAACGATTTAAAGTCACGTACTTTCTGTAAAAGATGCAAATGTATGTGTTGATTTATTTAAGGAATGAGTTCAATGACTCTAATTCTTGGCAATATTATCGAGTATAATCTGGTTTGGGTCAGTTTACGCTTTATAATCCGCGAAGCGGATTATAAAAAAGCGTAAACTGACCCAAACCAGATTATACTCGATAATATGGCCAAGAATTAAAGTCATTTCTTATAATTTAATTTTAAAACAATTAAACAACTTTTGATGTAAAGTTGTGTTGCTTTTTATAAGTTCAAATTTACCGCGCAATAATACAACCGTAGTAACGGAAGTGATTTGAAGCGAGGGGAGGTAATAAATAATACAAGGATCTAGCAGCCATGATGTTTGTTTACACGAGGTAAGAACGAGTAATTGTTTAAAGTTGAAGGTACATTTATTAAATTTGGAATTTTCCATGGATTCCGAGGACTGGAAATGAGGGGATTACATGGATATGATGATTAAGCTGGTCGTCAAGGGGGTGTGTCCCCATACCAAACCAGATTATACAAAATGTTTTGCGTTCCTTTTTGGAATTCAACCAATGAGAGGCGAGAATACGAACAAAATTAAATTATTGACAAATATCTTTAAATTAATAATACCTACAAAACTAAAATCCTGTGGGGAAAATCTCGAGTGAAATTTTTGATTTTCTTACATTTTATTTGAACAATTTCCGAGTTTTTTCTTGCTATAAAAGAGAGACACAGATCCGTGGAACGCGGAAGCGGCGGTTAATTTTTGAGTCTTTCTGATGTAGTATTAATTTGAAATTTGACATTTTAAAGCTGCTGGAAACCCCATCCCCTCCTATCCCATTCCCTACCCACCCACTTTTTTCCCCGTACGATCGAACTCGGCAATTAAATTTCATCATTTAAAAATATTTTACGGAAAAGAATGAGTTAGAGACACGTGTAACACCCCCCCCCCCTTAGGGTTTTCGAATTTGGACGTTTTCCTTTTTAATTTTTTTTGGCTTGTCATATTTTTGGAGGGCCAACGTTACAACGGACTTAAAAAGATATTTTATAACTTTTTTAAAAAAAAGTTTCTTTTTACGAAAGCAATACTTGGCATATGACGTTGCTAAGGGTGATGATGCAGGGTGAGTCGTTGTGTTGTGACAACAAGCTCATAGTAACGGCATCAGTCGTAGCGAACGGACGTGCAAAAAATTCAGAGCGAAAGAACTGAAATTTGACAATGAAACGACGACTTTCAACTGAGGATTTCTGTACTGAAGGGAACATAATGGTATAAATTACCCTTATGAATTTTCTTTTATGTACAGACTATTCTAAAAATGGAGATATTTATGACAGTGTTTTTTTATGAATGTTTGGCATCCGAAATTCAAACGCGAAGTATGTCTGGGGATCAATTTTTCCAGAAAAAATACCAACGGTTGTGAAATTACACAATAAATAACGAATGAATGAGAAAGATTTTCTTTCTTAACTAACAAAAAGCAGTTAGGCTATAAAACTTCCTGTAAAATGTAAATGTACAGTCTAACTATACTTTTCACGCTTACTTCTTGAGTGACATTTCTGTTTTACTAAGATTTTACCAGATTTTTTTTCGTTCGTTCTTGTTTTGAAAAAGAAACGTATGCACGTAGAGCGCAAGTGATTGGCTTTTTAATGTAAGTCTTTTTTATGTCGTCTCGCCATGTTAATTGACATTATGAAGTTATGAAGTAAATTGCTTAACCCCCACCCCCACCCCAGTTTCGGTTCCTGTACGGTCGATCATGGCAAATTTCATTATTTGAAAAAAAATGCAAAACGTTACAGGACGTCCCTCACCTCGAAATAGGATTTTCAAGTTAAGAAAGTTTACTCTAAAAAATCAATTGCTGGGAAGGGGTGGGGAGGGGGTCTCTACTTCTGGGTTTAAAATGGTGTTATGTTCCAATTTCGTACGTCAGAAATAAATCCCAACGGTCCAAAATTATACAACAAATCATGAATGAAAGATGAAAAGTTCAGGTTTTTAAATATTAAATAGACAATAAATAAAGTTAAACAGACAAATAAAATAATTGATTAATTAAATACCGGTAGATAAATAAATGAATGCATGAATGAATGAAGAGCAGTCATAAGACTTCTTGTAAAATGTGCAATTATGCTTTTGCATACATTTATGTAAAATTAAAAAGAAAACGAATTGCTTTTAAATTTACATATTGAAATTCTGAATTTGTAATGGATAACTCAGAAATTAAACAAACTATTATATTCTAGGCAAAGAAACGAAAGATCAGAGGAGGAAAGAAAGACGGGAGGAAACATGGTCCTCGTTCGTCCTCTGACTCCTCCAAAGTTCCCAGGACAGAGTCGTGTGCATCAGATACCTCTAGCCACAACAGTGAAACTGCAGGCAAACTATCAGCTGCTGAGGAATATGCATTAATTTCTAAGGAGATACGTGACTTTGAAGCTGCTTGTGCATTAATTTCTGAGGAGATACGTGACTTAGAAACTGCTTGTGAAATTTCGCAGACAGATTGTGCAACAAACACTCTTGTCAACAATGAGGTTGCGTGTGATACAAAGGATGCAGCGGAGCTGCAACAAGACATTCGGTCAGTTGATAGTGCAACCAATGAAAGCAACAATGATGCATGTGTTCTCTCACAAGCAGACATTCTTGGATTGTTACAAGGACTGAGCAACACGTACAATCTAACAGAGATGTCTCCGCAGGAGCAACCTTTTCATGTTGTGTCAGACGGTTCCTCTATGTACCTGGTGGGTCCTCAAAATCAGGTCTACATGTCACTGGTACCACCGACTGGAAGTAGTGCTGCTACCACAACAGACTCTCAAATGGTGTGTACCGTTCACGACAACCCTAACCAATCTAACCAGCTCACAGACAACATCAACAAATCGGTAAGTCAGTCATGAAATCTATTTCTAAATATTTCTCTCTCTCTCTCTCTCTCCCTCTCTTTTTCAAACAAGGTTCCACCTATTTTCTATTCTGTCTTCTTCTCTTTCTTAGCAGCGGTTCATTTCCAAGTCTTTTTCTGAGAGAATCAAGGAAAGGCTTGATTACTGGGTAAGAACCGTTCATTTAGAGAATGGTTTGATATAATTGTCTTGACATTCTGTCCAAGTCTTTGTCTTATTTTGCATGGGCGAATGTGTATTCCAAGGTAATGGTCTTAAGGCTTAGAAATATGTGTGTGTGGGGGTGGGGGGTGGGGGGTATGGGGTGTTCCAAACCAAAGGGTGATCCCACTTGAGTTGCTTATTTCTTTCAAAACTGTAAATAACTTTTGAAAATGACTAAAAAATTAATCTTTTTTCTTCCTGGAATTATCTTCGTATCATTAAAACTTACTTTATTTTGATTCTTTTTTCAGTATGATGCGACAATGGATGTTGATCGGAGAGAGGCGGATCTACTGAGATATCCCTCTCACCTGGTAGGTGTCTCATTTACGCCACTCTCTTTCATTTTGCACATGAAGGCAAGAGACTTTAACTAATAATGAAAATAAAATTATACCAAAAACAAGATGTGTTTGTGAAACACTATGCGGCAACAAAGTTTGAAAAAGTTATTTTTAGCATATAGGTCACAGTCAAGGTACAAGGTCATTGACCATGGTGTTATTTGAAAGAACTTAATATTAGCGGCCTGGAGTATGCATACCAAATATGAAGTCTCTATCTCTCATGGTGCAAAAAGGTTAAAGTTGACAACAGACAGACAAACAGATAAATAGAAAAACAGACTGGACAAAAATAATATACGCCTTGGATCTATCGATCCGGGCGCATAAAAATTATGAAAAGAATATGATCATTATTATTTATTTTAAATGTACATGTAGATCTGTAGCATTATTACACGCAGAATGGTTCTAAATTGTTAAAAACAGTTGTTTTTTTTGGGGGGGGGGTAAATCAGGGGTGGAGTTTAAAATTGCAATTCGCAAATAATTAAAGGGATGATGAGGTGCATTGTCCTCCTGTGACCCTCCCTCTTTGACAGCCATTATTGTGTAGATTTTGTTTAACATTGGCTAATACACTATAAAAAGTAAATGTTTTTTTTTCAGTTGGAATGGTCTGAGCGTGTGAAATTCAGTCACCAGCGCAAGTGGAAAAGGCTAACATACCACGAGCCTAAGTACAGCGAATGGGATTTCGTCTGAGGAAAATTTTCCGGTTATGGGACAGTTACTATTTGTTGCGGTGCTATACACTCGTTGGTCCACCCTGTGATATTTTCAGGAATGGGACAGTTATTATGTGTTGTGGTGCTATTAACTCTCTGGGCCACCCTGTGATATTTTCATGAATGGGATAGTTATTGTGTGTTGTGGTGTTATAAACTCTCTGGGCCACCTTGTGACAATCCATGCAAGCCCATCGTTTGTCTCTCTCAAGACTTTTTGAACATGCACTGACACATTACTTTTTAAATTATTTATTGTTTGGCAAATTCTTCTTGGCAAATCATGTTTGCGATGATACATTTTTGGCAGACAGCTACAGTAGGCACTGTGTGCTATTCATTCGTATCATTTTGATTTTTGTCTCTATAATTATTATTATGTTCCCCAAACGAAGTTGGGGAACATATTGTTTTTACTCTGTTTCTTATTATGTCGCCCCGAACGAAGTCGGGGACGACATATTGATATTGTACGCATGTTTTTTTTATCCAGGCTGTTTCTCGGAGATGGCTGGGGCAATCTTCCTGAAACTTTCCTCAAAGGACGATCACTGGTTGTAGTTGTGCAGTGAGGTCGTTCAGTTCCAATATGTCTACCGTTGCCATGGAAACCTGTAAAAAGCGACGAATTTTGTCCGAGAGTGTTCTCTCTGGTCCCTTAAACGTTCGTAATGAAACTCTTTTTATTTTAATGATTAGTATCTGTAGTTGTGCGCCTTGCATTTAAAATTTTCAAATACTCGATTATTGCCATGGAAACCAGGGGAATGTTAAAATTCTTTAATTTCGATTTTCTCAATAACTACTCAAGCAATCGTTATGAAACTTTCAATGTTAATTCCTTGCAATGTGTCAAAGTGATTTTTACTTTTAAAATAATTGTAATGAGTCGCTCACAGTTGTCATAGAAACGAAACAGAAAAAAGGTTAAGATGTACACATGTGTTCTCCAAGGTCTAGGTCAAAGGGTCAAAGTTCTTCGTGTCCAATAAAAGTTCTTTTCACAAGGATTACATATTTGAAATACGAAAGCCCTAGCCCTTACTGTTCAAACGTAAGGTACTATGTTCAAGACGACCCCCCCCCCCCTTTTGAAGCGCACTGCCAGTTAGAATACACATATCTAACATATACAACTTACAAGTAACGTTTTAAAAGTTTCATTCATAAAATTCAGTTCTCCTGATGTGATTTCATAGTTTGCCAACCTTCATTCTTCTTCTGTCTTGTCTCTAGATTTTATAATTATTTTATTTTATCTATATATAAAATAACGATTGTCAACTGCATTTATTAGCATTTCGCATTTTTTTGTATATCTATAACTTGTATATTATTAATTTCATTAGATAGTGCAAGTATAAATTAGAAAATTGGTACGTTATTTCCATAGTTTTTATTCATTCATAAATCCTAGGATCCGCTCCTACAAGTGCGCTAAGCCTTGATCACTACTGTAAACAAAACATTCATCTCGCCGAAAATGTTCACGATTCCGCTAAACTGAGAAAGTTTACACATGATTTATCATCTCATAAGAAACATCAGCCCTGTACGATGCAGAAATGCTCGAACTGAAGGGGAAAATTCAGGAGTTATTGATGTGAAAAATTCAGGAGTTATTATGTCGCCCCGAACGAAGTCGGGGACGACATATTGATATTGTACGCATGTTTTTTTTATCCAGGCTGTTTCTCGGAGATGGCTGGGGCAATCTTCCTGAAACTTTCCTTAAAGGACGATCACTGGTTGTAGTTGTGCAGTGAGGTCGTTCAGTTCCAATATGTCTACCGTTGCCATGGAAACCTGTAAAAAACGACGAATTTTGTCCGAGAGTGTTCTCTCTGGTCCCTTAAACGTTCGTAATGAAACTCTTTTTATTTTAATGATTAGTATCTGTAGTTGTGCGCCTTGCATTTAAAATTTTCAAATACTCGATTATTGCCATGGAAACCAGGGGAATGTTAAAATTCTTTAATTTCGATTTTCTCAATAACTACTCAAGCAATCGTTATGATTTTTTTTATACGTAAGGTACTATGTTCAAGACGACCCCCCCCCCTTTTGAAGCGCACTGCCAGTTAGAATACACATATCTAACATATACAACTTACAAGTAACGTTTTAAAAGTTTCATTCATAAAATTCAGTTCTCCTGATGTGATTTCATAGTTTGCCAACCTTCATTCTTCTTCTGTCTTGTCTCTAGATTTTATAATTATTTTATTTTATCTATATATAAAATAACGATTGTCAACTGCATTTATTAGCATTTCGCATTTTTTTGTATATCTATAACTTGTATATTATTAATTTCATTAGATAGTGCAAGTATAAATTAGAAAATTGGTACGTTATTTCCATAGTTTTTATTCATTCATAAATCCTAGGATCCGCTCCTACAAGTGCGCTAAGCCTTGATCACTACTGTAAACAAAACATTCATCTCGCCGAAAATGTTCACGATTCCGCTAAACTGAGAAAGTTTACACATGATTTATCATCTCATAAGAAACATCAGCCCTGTACGATGCAGAAATGCTCGAACTGAAGGGGAAAATTCAGGAGTTATTGATGTGAAAAATTCAGGAGTTATTATGTCGCCCCGAACGAAGTCGGGGACGACATATTGATATTGTACGCATGTTTTTTTTATCCAGGCTGTTTCTCGGAGATGGCTGGGGCAATCTTCCTGAAACTTTCCTCAAAGGACGATCACTGGTTGTAGTTGTGCAGTGAGGTCGTTCAGTTCCAATATGTCTACCGTTGCCATGGAAACCTGTAAAAAACGACGAATTTTGTCCGAGAGTGTTCTCTCTGGTCCCTTAAACGTTCGTAATGAAACTCTTTTTATTTTAATGATTAGTATCTGTAGTTGTGCGCCTTGCATTTAAAATTTTCAAATACTCGATTATTGCCATGGAAACCAGGGGAATGTTAAAATTCTTTAATTTCGATTTTCTCAATAACTACTCAAGCAATCGTTATGAAACTTTCAATGTTAATTCCTTGCAATGTGTCAAAGTGATTTTTACTTTTAAAATAATTGTAATGAGTCGCTCACAGTTGTCATAGAAACGAAACAGAAAAAAGGTTAAGATGTACACATGTGTTCTCCAAGGTCTAGGTCAAAGGGTCAAAGTTCTTCGTGTCCAATAAAAGTTCTTTTCACAAGGATTACATATTTGAAATACGAAAGCCCTAGCCCTTACTGTTCAAACGTAAGGTACTATGTTCAAGACGACCCCCCCCCCCCTTTTGAAGCGCACTGCCAGTTAGAATACACATATCTAACATATACAACTTACAAGTAACGTTTTAAAAGTTTCATTCATAAAATTCAGTTCTCCTGATGTGATTTCATAGTTTGCCAACCTTCATTCTTCTTCTGTCTTGTCTCTAGATTTTATAATTATTTTATTTTATCTATATATAAAATAATGATTGTCAACTGCATTTATTAGCATTTCGCATTTTTTTGTATATCTATAACTTGTATATTATTAATTTCATTAGATAGTGCAAGTATAAATTAGAAAATTGGTACGTTATTTCCATAGTTTTTATTCATTCATAAATCCTAGGATCCGCTCCTACAAGTGCGCTAAGCCTTGATCACTACTGTAAACAAAACATTCATCTCGCCGAAAATGTTCACGATTCCGCTAAACTGAGAAAGTTTACACATGATTTATCATCTCATAAGAAACATCAGCCCTGTACGATGCAGAAATGCTCGAATTGAAGGTGGCATGTCAGATTCGTTTTCCGACAGAACCTCTAAAAATGAAAGTGAAATTTCAGAGTTCTAACTGGCGTTATAATACACAAAATGATTCGGCTGATCTTCTTAAAAAAATACATTTGCCAAGCTTTTTTGGTAGGAAAGATACTGCCAATTAACAAGTATGAGGCTCAGTTCAGTACATCTGCCCAACTTCTTTTATGCAAGTCTGCAAATTTAGGAACTTGTAATTTTTTCCTGCACTACTTTCTTCTCCTACCGATTCTAAAAATAAAATGGGATGTACCCAATTAAGGTCTTCCGTTTCCAACGGAAAGGACTGATACGACTCGATGGTTGTCCAAGCTTAGCTAATGGACCATTGTTTTAGTGATGATAAAAATGAAAGTCTTGTCCAGTACGGGGCGACATATGCTATTGCTTGCAATAGCAGACTTTCTAGTTATTATTTTTCTTCTTCCTGGGTACTTATTTGTCCGCGAATGATCTTGTAAACTGTACATCTGATGTAGGTAAAACCTTTTTAGGGTAAGTAGACATGTCATGTAGATTTGCGGAATCAAGGTCATTTTGCGCGCACGTGCTTGCAAGAGCGCGCACGTGCAACACGTGAAATGACCAATATAATAGATATAGCCGTAACTTTTCTATTTTTTGATGAAATGTGTTGAAACTCAGAAAATAAGAATAAATTAGTATTATAGACAAGAGGACATGGTCAAATTATCATGAACTCACGCGCATGCACGTGGGCTTCGCTCTGATTGGCTGAAAGAAAAATCTCAATATTTTATTCGTTTTTAGACGAAATACGATGAAATTTAAAACATAGTCATGCATTAAGATATCCTACGTTATGATATAAAATAATTTTCCTGAAATCGCGTGCATGCACGTGTGCTGCAATCTGATTGGCTTAAACTTTAAATGGCTGTAACTCCCTTGATTTTCAGCCAAACAGGGTTGGATTTAAAACATAGATAGTCTTAATAGACCCTTACAAGAGATTATGGTCATCATGCATATGCATGCACGTGCAATACGTATAATTACAAACGCACTTGATTTAGCGTATTTTCGAATACTTTTTGATTAGATGCCTTGATATTAAGTACATTTAAATGAATTAATAGTGAAGATACAATGATATGGTCATTCCGCATATGCTTTCAAGTGTGCGCACGTATAATGCAAAAATTTGCTATATACTTGGTATATTTCAGAAAAAAAACGTTGTTTAAGTTTAAGATGTATAGAGTTTATTTGCTGAAGCTTAGAGGGAATGAGGCACCAAAATGAAGCTGGGGAGCGTTTGGGGAACATCTGTAACGGTTCCCGTTACAATTAGCACTAGTTATATCTTGATTTTATCTTTTTGGCAGACAGCTACAGTAGGCACTGTGTGCTATTCATTCGGATCATTTTGATTTTTGTCTCTATAATTATTATTATATCTTGATTTTATCTTTATTATTTTGGCACCAAATGTTTTTTTTAATTTTCCTTTGAAACTGGA